TGTATCGGGGGATTTTATATCGTCAGAGTTTTCATCGGGGTGTTTATCAACGAGTTTGGAAAAAATTCTGGAGCAGTTCTTCTCACAGAGAGGCAGAAGCTGTGGAGGGACATGAACCGTATCATCCAGAAAACTTATGCTATTCCGCTGGCTCGACGACCAAGCAATCCCATCCGGGGGATGTGCTTCTACTTGATTCGCAATCCGACATATCAAAAGTGCATGATCCTCGCACTCCTTGGCTACTCCGGGCTACTTGCGACTAACTATGCTGGCCAGTCAGCAGTTGTTTCGGACCGGCGTCAGATGGCTCACTGTGCGATTACAACATATTTCCTGCTCGAATCCGTGATGAAGTTCCTTGGTGACGAGGTACCTCATTCATCGTTTTCTCGATTGTTTTTTGTTTGACCACCTGGTTTTTCCTTTCTCCAGTGGAAGGTCTATAAGAACGAGGTTGCACGGCAGATGGAGTTTGGACTCTCCATAATGGCCGCCATTGGTTTCATGGGAAAGAAGGGAACGGTGAGGGGCTATGTGGGCCGCACTGCCTACATTGCTCGAGTTTTTTGCATCATTCCTCACGTAGCGAGAGCGCGGGTTATTATGCGAACAATGTTCATCTGTTTGCCAACTGTAGCTGAGATACTCGCTCTTCTCGCAATTTTCATGTATATGTTCGCGGGGATGGCTTTTCAACTCTTCAGTGCAATGAAGGAAGGGACCTGCATTGGCCCGTCTGTCAACTTTCGCACTTTCGTCAACGCTTTCATTGCGGTGTTTCAGGTAAAGGCTTGCTTTTCTACCACTTTCAGTTTCGCTTTTCTTTTACAGGTTACAACTCTTGATAACTGGTCTTGCGTTATGATGGATACCACAATTGATGCACCCGCCTGCACCAACGGTAAAACACTACTCGGCGATGATTGTGGCTATCCAGAGGGCGGGATTATCTTCTTCGCCTTCTTGGTCTTGGTCGGGAGCCACATATTCATGAACTTGTTTGTGGCTGTCATACTGGATGCTGTAACCTTCGGCCTTGTGAACGAGAACTCTATGGTCATGCCAGAGCACCTGTTAGCATATCGAAACTTGTGGAGCCAAGAACCATTCGATCCCAAGTAAGCCACTTAATTACGTTCAAGTCCTTGCGGAACTAACTTTACAATCGTCCAGTGCTACGGGATACATTGGCATGCACAAGCTGCGACGATTTGTAAACGCCCTCGGTGATCCGCTGGGCCGGCGCTACAAATACGCGACCCAATGGTTTGGCGTGTTCCTCTCAATCTCTCTTTGTCTCTCACTCGTTTTTTTCTTTGTTCTGCTCAGGTACATGAGAATAGAGTACGAGGTGATGAGTTTTCGAGTTCCAAACAAAGGAATCCCTTTCAAGGAGCTGCTGGAAACGCTGACGCTGTATAAGATCGGACCAACTGTAAGTAGCTGCTATTCCAAGCTTTTGATACTTACGTTTGGCTCGGATTAACGCAGGGGTTGCCTCTCACTCTGCGCATCGAGCGTGAGAAGCGGATCCAGGCCGTGTACATCCAGGGCGCTGCAACGAAAATGCAGGCTCTCGTGAGAGGTTTCCTGGCGAGGATAAGAGCCGGCAAAGGTGGTGCTGCTGTGAGCAAAACCGAGGTGGCAGCTCAACAAGAATTGGAATCGACAAGGAGCAAACCCGAGGTGGTAGAGATTGCCAGGGACGTGAGAGGCGAAGCTCTCCTGGTGGGAGAATAGTGGTGCAGTCGCAGTTTTGTATATATTGATTTAGAGGAGAAATATGTGAAACGACGTGGAGGTGAGACGTTCGAATACCAAAACGCTTCGGAAATTAAAAGTTCGAACGTTCTATCTTGAGATTGGGGTGGTACTCAAGCCAAGGTGGAATTTTCATGCCTTCCGGGCAGTCTAGCCTTTTCAGCCTGGGAAATGCGCCCTGGCTGTGATTGTGGGACCACAGTGCCTCGTTATGTATCACGCTTTGCCCCGAAATGTGAAGAAATTTCAAACCTGGTAATGATGAAATGGATGATGGAATGATACTCTTATCACTGATGAGGGACAAGGTTTTTTATATTAGTCATTGCATCATGTGATTATATCATGCAACTCTATATTTGACTTCTTTACAAGTTGATGCCTTTGTAAATGGAAGTTAACAATTGCACTCTCTTTAACAGACTACCAAATGTTAATTTTAATAGGGTTGGATTTGAGAATATATCAATTGTAAGCTTTTAAATTTAGACTTCCTAAAATATCACCCAATTTAGTATTATTCAAATTTAAGGACATTTAACCCTAAGTATTTCAAGATCCTTACTCAATTTGAAAAAAGGGTGTGTTCCTATTTATATGCTTTTTCCCTTTATATTTAAACTTATATAGATCATCTTTTGAGCCATTCTCTTTGTTTTTTTACACCACCTTAAAGCATTAACAATTGTAAATATAATGTAAATATTAGTCATTTTCACTACTGACAAAAAAATTTCACTATAATCCACCTCTTTGACTTAAGTGAAACCTTTAGTCACCAAGCAAGCTTTGTTATGAATGGTATTATTGGTTGATTATGAGTTCTCTTGAACACCCATTTATGATCAATAAGTTTTCAATCAAAAGGCATAAAACAGTATTCAAAAGCCTTGATGGCATTTGTCCAAGATTAGGATTTGCCCCTAGTTAGCCTCATGGTACATTATGGGATTTGATTGTCTACAAACATACATAATTCAACTTCATCATTGGTAAGCAAGGATGTTATGTCTTCAAGCATCTTTTGAAAGGCTTATTGCACACATGGACCTTCCAAGATTGAGGTAACCTCCATGCCCTGTGCAACAAACAAAAACTTAGGATTGAGAACTTTTTCTTCTTTTTGCTCCCATTGGGGGGGGCAGGGGGGGTTTGCTGCCCAATTACACCAAGAAGACCTCCCACTCCCCACCAAAGGGCTATAGTAGTGGTAGATATCCTTTTCCCCTCCCTTACTTTGGTTTTTGGGTTTTGGTGCAAGCTAAGGGTGGTGGCAACCATACCTAAACACCCACTCCCACTAAATCAATGTTAATCCTCTCTCTATAGTTGGTCCCTCCCCCCTCCCTAGTAGTGGTTGATTGGGCATTTTAACTAGCATGATCCTTAGGGTCATTAGCTGACATTATTGGATCATTAATAATAGCCATAGAATGAGTGGGACAAGTAGATTTTTGTCAACAAACTTAATTGACATTACATCTAATGGTTGTTTGTATAAAAAGTCATTTTCATCAAAGACAATGTCTATACTAAACATTGTCTCTTTAGTGGTGGGATCCTATAATTTGTAAACTTTCTAACTATGCTCATTGTCATGAGCATATCCTACAAAATATGAGTTTGACTTTTTGGATCAAGTTTTTTGTAGAGGATGTGTGCATAACCTGTGCAACCAAAGACTTAGAAATGATAGACATTACGTTTTATGTCAGTTCAAGTTTCTTTAGGAGTTTTTCCTTTAAGTGTGACCGTGAGTAGTTAAGTTTGAATATGCATGGCTATTGCAACTGTCTTCTACTAAAATTCTTTGTCAAACTTGCTCCCAACAAGGAGGCTGTGAGCAACATTCACCAACATCCAATTCTTACACTCCACAACACCATTTTTCTGTGAGGTGTAGCAAGTGGTCACTTATGCTAGATACATGCTGCGTGGCAAATATCTCTAAAAGCATTGCTGACATACTCTTTTCTGCCATCTGTATAGAAGTCTTCCCAATCTTCATCTTGAATATGGCCTTGTATAGCTAAAAAGCCTCCACAACCTCAGCATAAAAAAAAAATGCATGCTTTTTCAACTGAAATCATCAATCACTGTTATAATATATTTCACACCAAAATGATTGAGCACTTCTATTAGTCCACAAAGGTCCGAATGGATCAACTCTAGAGGCTAGGATGATCATAGTGTAGACAAAGCAAAGATTCTATGATGGTGTTTCCCCAACATGCATGATTCTCAAAAAGTATAAATGAAGCTAATATTTAGATGAAGTTTGATTACCATCTTCTTCAGAAGGATATCTTGGAGAGCTTTATAGCTGGCATGACTAAAATGACAATGCCAAATATAGGCACTGCTCTCTGAATTTTTAGTCTCAAAATTTGTTTGTGGTAATATAACCGAAAGGGGATATTTCATATAAGTTTTCCCATGCAATAGTGTTTGCCCCATCATGTAAAAGCTTTGTTTGTCCATAAAAGTGACACGATTGTCATTGAAGACAACAACACTGTTTTCCTTTTATTCCAAGGTTTGTTACAACATCTATAGCATTTGGGCAATTGCAAGCCCAATGCCCAAATTCCTGGCACAACTTGCAATGGTCTTGACCAATGTGTGTTTCTTGTTTGCTGCAAAGAGTCCTACCAGCATGCCCTCCATGCTGGTGTAGAGTGGAGGCCGCTCCACCACCATATGAGATGCATCTTCCTTCCCCACAATGGCCTCCACTGTCACGTCCACAGCCTCCATGGCTGCCACCAACAGCCTCCAACCTCCTCACAAACATGGTGCAATGCACCTTATAACTTTGGGACCTCTCTCTATTCAGCAAGGAAGCGTTCACCAACTTTGTTACTGTTTCATCAAATGAAAGGTTTGGCTCCCACATCAATGCCTTGGCAACGTCATCCCAGTCTCTCAAAAGTGACTTGGAGAGCTTCACATTCTGCACGGAGTCAAAAACCTTATGGTCCTTGCCTTGAGAAGCTAAATCTGCATATAGCCCAGAGAGTCCACATGCTATTGCATATCCTCACCATCCTAAAAAGTGCAAACCTTTAAGACTGAATGGATCTTCATCAATTCTATATCAAACTTCTTGCTATATAAATCATTGAGCCATGTCTAGAAATGAGCCCACACCCTAATTTTCCGTATTAAAGGACCTTTTGGCTCCACCATTTATAGGGCAGAAGAATATACTGTGCATGTAGTCATTCAGATTTTAGGGTTCTTGGTGGGCAGCAGCGTGATGATCACGGGGCCTGATGGGGGAGAACACGGTGAGATTCAGCGCCGTCAGCGACATGCTGGAGCGCATTTCCAAGAGCAAGAAGCTGCCGGTGAAGCGCAAGACCTTCCGCACCTTTCTGGATCACTTCTACACCGATCGCGAGTATTTCAGCGTGATGCGCCTAGTTCTTCCGGAGCTGGACAGGGAGCGCGGCAACTACGGCCTCAAGGAATCGGTGCTGGCCAAGTGCCTCGCCGACGCGCTGGGCCTGGCCAAGGGATCCAGCGACGCCGACAAGCTCGTCAACTGGCGCAAAGGTGGGTCGAGCGTCGGGAAGAATGCCGGTAACTTTGCGCTGGTCGCCGCCGAGATCGTGGGCAGCCGCCAGAGCCACACCTCGGGCGGCCTCACCGTCAAGCGCGTGAACGAGCTCCTGGATCAGCTGGCCGAGGTGAAGAGCCGCGAGGAGAAATCCAAGGTCCTGGCGGAGTTCATCAACAAGACCAATCCCGTGGAGATGAAGTGGCTGGTGATGATCATCCTCAAGGATCTCAAGCTGGGCATCAGCGAGAAGACCGTCTTCAAGGAGTTCCACCCCGACGCCGACGAGGTGTACAACAAGACGTGCGATCTCAAGCTGGTTTGCGAGAAGCTGGTGGATCCCAAGGTGCGATTCAAGCGCCAGGACATCGAGGTTGGCAAGGCGGTGAGGCCGCAGCTCGCGTCCCGGGTGAAGAACGCCGAGGATGCGTGGAAGAGGATGAGGGGGAAGAGGGTGATCGCCGAGTGTAAGTTCGATGGTGATCGCTGCCAGGTCCATAAGGATGGGAACGAGGTCCACTTCTTCTCCAGGAGCTCCATCGATCACGTCGAGTTTGCCGCGGCCATGAGCAGCGTTATCTGCGAGAACGTCAAGGCGTCGAAGTGTATCCTCGACGGGGAGATGGTGGTGTGGAACCGAGTGACGAACAAGTTTGCCGAGTTTGGGACAATTCATGCGGTGGCCAAGAATGCCAAGGATGGCGTCCAGAGCGACGAGCAGCTTTGCTACATCGTCTTCGACATTCTCTACCTGGACGATTGCAGCGTGATTCACCAGCCTCTCTGCGAGCGACAGAAGCTGCTCGAGCAGAAGGTGACGACTGTCCCTGGGCGGCTCGAGCTGCTTCAGCCGGATCGGAGGAACTGCGGTGGCCAGCTCTGGTCGATCACTCCACAGTCCGCTGCCGACGTCGAGAAGTTCTTCCTGATGACCGTGGATAACAGGGAGGAGGGAATCGTCGTCAAGGACTTCGATTCCAAGTGGGAGCCTGGGGACAGGAGTGGAAAGTGGATGAAGCTCAAGCCCGACTACGTGAAGGAGAGCGAGATGGATGTGCTGATCATTGGTGGCTACTATGGATCGGGACGGCGGGGTGGTGATGTGGCTCAGTTTCTTCTCGGCATTGCCGAGCGTCCAGCGAGCGGGTATCCGACCAAGTTCCACTCGTTTTGCAAGGTTGGCACGGGGCTCAGCGATGAAGAGTGCCGAGTTTTGGTTGACAAACTAAGGCCGTATTTCAGAAAATATGACAAGAACACCAAGCCTCCGAGTTACTACGTGGTGACTAACAACGCCAAGGAGCGCCCGGACGTGTGGATCGAGCAGCCGGACAAGTCTGTGCTCCTGGAGGTGAAGAGCGATATCCGAAAGATCAAGTCGGAGGTGTTTGCCTCGCCTTACAGCCTCCGCTTTCCAAGAGTTACCAGGGTCCGGTACGACAAGCCTTGGAACGAGTGCTTGGATATCCAGGAGCTTGTGAGGATGGTGGCGGAGGACGCAGGTGCTGGTGTAAATGGAGATGGTGATGGCGGCCGGAAGAAGAAACAGGAGAGGGCTCCCAAGAAGAAAGCTCCAAAGCTTCCTTTGCTGGCGCCTCATATGCAGCAAACAGACGTTTCCGGTGTGAAGAAGGTGTCCGACATGCTCAGCGGCCTGGTCTTCTTCCTGGTGAATTTCAAGCTCGAGGAGAAGGAGAGGTTCCACAAGCTGGTGGCCGAGTATGGAGGGAAGTTTTCGATGAACTTGAATGGCGACGTAACTCACGTCCTTGCCGAGAGTCCGAAGGGCCTTCTGTACGAGACCGCAACCAAGCGAGGGGACGTGATCCATTCCTCGTGGTTTATGGACTCGATTGCTGCGAAGGAGCTCCTTCCGCTCAGGCCCAAGTACATGCTTCACCTCTCGTACAAAACGAGGGAGACTCTCAAGGACACTTTGGACGAGTTTGGAGATCACTACTTTGTGGAAGTGGACGAGGCAGACATGAAGCAGCTGTTTGGACGCATGCGAGTCGAGGACCTCTCAGTGAACGAGAAAGACGTGGACGAGCACAGGGGCAGCCTTGGCGACAGGAAGAACATCTTTGAAGGCTGCTCGTTCTACTTTTACTATCCTCGCGAGGCGGCAGTAGCAGATGAAGCGATGATTGCTGGAGTCGTTCTCAGGAGGCTGGAAGTGGAAGTGGAATTGCGCAAGGGTGCTGTGAAGCCGTCTCTTGCTGGAGCGACTCATATGATCGTGTTCTGGGACAGCGAAAGGGATCACAGTGAAGCCGGTCTCTCTTTCTCGGAGAACAAGCTGGTTTCAAGCAAGAAGCTGAGAGTCTTGAGTCACAGATGGTTGGAGGAGGCGCTGAGGAGGGACAGTGTTCCTCCGGAGGACGATTACGACGTGAGGCAGGCTTTGGGATCTCGGCTGGTGGAAGAGTCTCCTCCACGACAAGAAGAAGAACCAGAGCTTTTGAAAGAAAACTCGGAGCATGAAGCCGGAGATGAAGAGCAGGATGAGGAGAGGGTGAGTGTTTTTGATACTCTAGTTTTGGAAGAGATGGACGGGCCGGAGAACGAAGAACTCCCACCGAAGAAGAAGCGGCACTTGCAAGGGATGGCTACCCCGACTCTGGCGAAGACGCTCACTTTGCCAACTACATCATCGAGTTTGGACTTGTGGCCTACCACGCAAGAAGCTGGAGCAAATCCGACACTGGTGATCTCGGAGACTTTGAAGCTTCCAAGTTTCGAGCCACAGAAGTTAGCAGCTTGCTCGGAAACTTTGAAGCTTCCAAGTCTTGAGCCACGGAAGTTAGCAGCTTGCTCGGAGACATTGAAACTTCCCGAAACTCCTCCAGCGACAGTGATCACCGAGACTGTGAAGCTTCCGAGCTTTGAGCCGGACAAGGCGTTTGACAACTTGCTGGCGGATTTTGCGTTCCTTCCCTCGATCACAAGGGAAGCTCCTGCGAAAGGATTTGCAGCTCCACAGCAAAACAAGCCACGGATAGTTCAAGAGGAAGTAGCGAAGGAAGACACAGCGATGAAGAAGAGCAAAGCAAGCTACAAGATAGAAGTTCCTGTGGAAGGATTTGCTGGAGGATTTGCTGCTCCACAGCGAAACGAGCCAGGGGCGTTTCAAGAGAATGGCAGCTCCTCCCGGGAAGAAATAGCGATGCCCATGCCCGCCAAGAAGAAGAACAAAACAAGCCTCAAGGATGTGGTTCGCAACTTACTGTAAATTATCATGTATTTAATTAATCCTGATTATGTAACTTGGTTTAGTAAAAAAACGGGTTTAATTTGGATAATGCGGGTGAATCTTATCCAACGGCTCGTGGCTACGCCACGTGGCATTCTTTACTTTTCCTTGGTGTCTACGTCACTTCTAGCAGTGCTAGTACTACTGTTTGGTGGATTGACCTCGAGCGATCGGCGCGGAGGATCCTCTTTGGGTTTGGGTATGATGCTAGGAGTTCGCTAGATCAGACCGAGAGCTAGTTTAATTGGAGGAATTGGATACAGGGCTTTGGATCGATCGACTTGCAGGATCGGTAATGGCGACGGCGCATGAGAGACGGGTGGGAGTGGCCATGGATTTCTCCGAGGGCAGCAAGGCCGCGCTGAAATGGACAGTGGAGAATGTGGTGCGCGGGGGCGACTACTTGATACTCTTCATGGTGGTGAAGACTGAGCTCGAAGGGAAGTCGCAGCTCTGGGAGCAAGGCGGATCACGTAAGCCCGCGATTTCTCATTCTTCTTCTTTTCTTTCTAAAGTGATCGCTGTGGCTTGTGATAGCTCTGATCCCCCTGTGCGATCTGGGCGAAGGGCAGATCTTGAAAGGCTATGGCGTCACTCCAGACGCGGAAGTCGTGACGCTTCTGGAGCAAGTCGCGCGAGAGAAAAATGCACGTACACATCTCCTCGATCGATCGATCGATTCATATATGTGTGGGTTTTGCTAATGCTTTGCACTGTCGCTCTGCCAGATCGTGGTGGTGGGAAAGGTCTACTACGGTGATCCTCGCGAGAAACTTTGCGATGCTGCCACTGATTTCCCGCTGAGTTGCATGGTCGTGGGAAGCCGCGGCCTCGGCCCTCTCAAACGGTAAGAGACCATCTCCTATCCTGGAAGATCATAGATCACAGATCACAGACACGCTACGTGAGAGAGAAAGAGTGATCATATCTATCCATGACCGACGGGTTTGTGATTGTTTCTTGGATCAGTGCAATCCTGGGGAGCGTCAGCAACTACGTGGTGAACACCGCCCAGTGCCCAGTTACGGTGGTGAAGCACTAGATCAAGACCATTGTTATAGAACGCGTTCTCGATCGTTAAATCGTTAAACGCAGTGCCGTATATGGCGTATTTCTTTCAAGATTCTCTTCGCAGATTTAAGGCAAGAAAATCCTTGCCCTACGATCCCCATGATTACATTGAAGCATGTCACCTCCTCCAGCAAAGAAGGTAAGTTTATATTGTTTCCATCGTCTGCTCGCAAGCAATGAACGAAAGTTAACGCATTGGATGATCGCCAGAAGAAGAGCGGGGGGAGGAAGAAGATCCCAATCAAGTTCATCACAGACCCCGAGGCGAGGAAGAGCTGCTTCAAGAAACGCGTCGGGGGCCTGTTCAAAAAGGCGTGGGAGATCAATCTCCTGGCCAACCCCGTGGTGGAGCTTTTAGTCTACCACGAGGAGACGAAGAAGTTCTACCGCTTTGTCAGCACTGACGGGGAGCCCGACTTGAAGCTCTTGCCGGCGTCCATGGCGAGGGTGATCAAGCAGCATCGCGAGGAGATGAATAATGCAAACGCGTCTGGAGAGGATCGAGGCTCGCCTGATCCAAGCTCGCCCTCGACAGATACTAGCGCTTTGGAATCGAGCTCGAGCCAAGGAGGGGGCGACGAGGAGTGTGATGATGATGATGATGAGGAGGAGGAGGAGTGTGAGGATTGGCAGCAACTGTTTATGAAAGAAGAGAATTTGCAATTCCAGGGTGGTGGTGTCTTGCAACCTCAAGGACAAGAACAAGACCATGTGTTTGGGAGCAATAACACGCAAGTTGATCCAATGCATCACATCAAACTGGAGTCCGGAGAGATCCAAAACCTTGACAACGTTGTCCTGGATGATTTCGACGTGAGCGAGTGGCTTCTGGAGGGCCCAAGTGAGTGAAAGCATCAGGACTCTTCTTCTGTCTCATGTTTTAAGTACATGTTTTAAGCTATGGCGATAGACTTTCAAAGGCAGACTAGCCAACGTGGTGCTATTCACGTCGTACGATCTCCCGAGCAAGAATCCTGTGCTTCTTGTTGGGTGGCCTGTAGATTTCAAAGCTCCGGGAACGAATAAAGAATGCCTCCCACGCGTCTCACGCGATCCATCAGTTGAAAAGCACTGGAGATCACAGCTTACCATCAGTAGATCATGTCGCTGGAGCTCGCGGAGGCCAGGAATGACCGCTGCTCGAGCAGCCACCAAGATGGAGTAGCAGCGGCCGCGGAGGAGCACACGAATAAGAGTAAGAAGAACTCCCTGTGGAGCAACTTGAAGCGGAAGAGCCGCCTCTACTGGCTCATGCTCGCGCTCTCCGGCGTCGTCACCGTCGTCAGCACTGTCTCCGCCTTCCTCATCGGCCGCTTCTACTTCACGCAGGGAGGCTCCCGGCGATGGCTGTCCGCCTGGATCCAAGTCGCCGGCTGGCCGCTAAGCGCCTCCATGCTCTTCCTCCAGAAAACCAAGAGCCTGCGCGAGATCCTCTCCATCTCCCGCAAGCTCGCCTCCGCCTACGTCGTGCTGGGAGCCATCAACGGGGGAGTTTGCCTCCTCTACGCCTGGGGGATCTCCTACTTGCCAGCGTCCACGAGCTCCATCCTCATCTCCACGCAGCTCGTGTTTACCAGCCTCTTCGCGCTGGTGATTGTCCGCAAGCCACTCTCGCCCTTCATGTGGAACGCCGTGGTGCTCATGACGTGCAGCACCGTGCTCGTCGGCCTCCACTCCAGCTCGGACAAGCCCCCCGGCCTGACGCACTCGCAGTACATCCTCGGCTTCGTCATGACGCTGGCGGCGGCGGTGCTCTTCGGCCTCCTCATCCCGCTGTTCGAGCTCGTCACCAAGAACTTGATGGCCTCGTCCAGCTCGGCGGTGGCGGAGCTCATGACCTTCGTCAACATCGTCGCCACCGTGGTGCTGTCCATCGGGATGGCCATCAACGGGGACTTCTCGCGGATCTCGGCCGAGTCGCGGGTATTTAAGAGCGGCCGTGTCTCGTACTTCATGACTTTGTTCTGGAGCGCCGTGCTCTACCAGGTGCAGTATCTGGCCGTGACCGGTGTCGCGATGCTGGCCTCGTCGCTTCTCTCTGGGATCTTGATCACGGCCTCGACGCCGCTGGTTTCAATCTTCGCCTTCTTCTTCTTCCACGACAACTTGGGAGGGGTGAAGATCATGGCGCTGGTTCTCTCCGTCTGGGGGTTCATCTCGTACGCCTATGGAGGATACCTGGATGAGAAATCAAAGGCTCCAATCGCCGAGGATAAAAGTAACTACAGAGAGGAAGTGTGAACATAGCTTCTTTTGACCGATGATAAGAGAATGATTTATTTTTATTTTTTTGCTTTCGTTCTTTCTGCGTGTCTACCTGCAATGGCCAATGTCAAACTTCTAGTTGAAGACAGCAAGAACATCACATCAGACTTTCAAGTCTGATGTGAAGTCTTCTGGAAAGAATGGACGAACTTATAGTCTTCCGGAAAGAATGGACCAACTTACAAAGTTACGAGGCTGGCTGGGCGGTTTTTACATTACATGATTTCTCGACATCGGCCGCAGAGTCCTTCTCCGCGGCCACGGCGGCCGATTCTGCCGCGGAATGGTAGCCCCTGCTCTCCAGTTCTTTCAGGAACAGCTCAGTCTGGTGCTCATCGATCCGGTATGGAGTGTGAGCAGCAGAAGGGAAGCGACCGCTGAGGACCTCGTCACGGTAATCTGCGAGACCTTGCTGTATAACATCTCCCACTTTTGCGTATTGTTTGCAGAATTTCGGGGTTATCTTGCACGAGCAAAGAAAACTTTGAGCAGAGAAGCAAAAGATTTAAAGACAGTATTACCTTTCTGTGGTGAGGATGCTGCATCATTCCCAACAAGTCGTGATAAACTAGAACCTGCAATGGAAAAAAAAAGAAGCGTTTTTTCCTTTGTAAGTTTCCGAGCGAAGAACGTTAAGTTTCTTATAAACCTGGCCACTGCAGAAAGGCCCAGCTCCAATGCCGATGGTTGGTATCTGCAAGGACGAAGTGATGGCAGCAGCCACTGGCGATGGTATACACTCGAGAACCGTAGCAAAACATCCGGCAGCTTCCAAGTGCAAAGCTCTCTCCAGCACCTGGATGTTTTACGAATCGCTGCCAGCAAAACAAAGAGAGAAAACGTTGAATACCTGGACCGCATCAGAGAAACTCCGTCCTTGAGGCCGGAATCCGCCAAGAACACTGATCGACTGTGGAGTAAGGCCGACATGTCCCATGACTGCAATGCCGGCCTCGCAAATGGCCTTGGCTGCTGCTACTCGAGAAACGCTACCACCTTCCAGCTTGATCGCGTCCATCCCTCCCTCCTTGAGCATTCTTACGGCATTCTCGACAGCCTAAGAGAACTAAACCAATTCTAGCAAAAAAAGGAAGAAACTTAGAGACCTGGTCGGAGCTTAGCTCGTAGCTCCCAAAAGGAAGATCCCCAACGAGAAAAGCTCTATTTGCTCCTCGCTGCACAGCTTTACAATGCGTGAGCATGTCGCTCATGGTCACGGGCAGCGTGGTATCGTAGCCATGGACAACCATCCCTGCGCAAATTGGAGATAACATTTTTTCTCCCATCGATCACAAGAAAGAAGAAAAGCTTACCGGCAGAATCCCCAACTAGGCAGATATCGATGCCCGCCTGATCGACATGGACGGCGCCAGGGTAATCGTAGGCCGTGACCATGGTGATCGGCTCCTTGGCGGCATACTTGGATTGCAAATGCCGCAGCGTGACCCTTGCTGATGGAGATTGCGGCTTGGGGCCGCCGTAGACGCGATCATCGGGTGTGTGTGCGAAGCCACGCCGCAAAGATCGAGCGCAAGCTCCAGCTATCCTCTTCCGGATCATCCTAAACCCTAAATCCTATTGGGCTAGGCAAGTACACATTGACTTTTATTGACTTTTATTGACTTTTACTTTTATACGTTTACTCTTTGAAAAAGTGTATGAGCAAGGAGTTCACTTCCTCGGGCGAGTCTTCCTCCACGAAGTGGCCGCCAGGAAGAACAGCAACGTCGACGAGGTTGGGGACGTCTCGCTTCATTCCACCGCCGGTCACGTACTCCTCCAGCCCCGGGAACTTGCGCACGTAGTCGTCTTTGCCAATGATGTAGAGGCAGCGGCTCGTCACCGGCATGTTGATCCAGGGGGCCATGAGCTCGAACTTCCTGCGGCAAAAATCGATCAAACTAGATCCAGAAAATGCAAAGAATTCTTACCTCCTGTTATCGCGATACGTGAAGTAGAGCGGGCACTCGAAGCCGGACTTCTCGTAGAGCTCGGACTGGACTTTGATGAAATCCTCGGTGAGCCAGCTCGGGATGGCGTCCGAGGTAGTGACCAAGTCCATGATCTCCTCGTCGGGCCCGGCGATCTGGAGCTCGGACCGGCAAAAGAGCGTGTAGATGTTCTTGAGCACGGTGGCCGTGTCGAATCGAGCGAAGTCTTTCTCGGCTCGCCCAGGTACCTGGAAAGAATGATGTAGAGCTGTGAGCTCAAAGTTGGAGCAGTGATTCACGGACTTACACCAAAACGATTCACGTAGAATCCTTCTTCCGGGGGGACTCTAAATCCTCCTAAGGGAATTCCAAGCGAAGCATAAGCTCTCACGAGATCCGGCCTCATGCGACACAAGTTCCATCCGGTGAAAGCTCCAACGTCATGACCCACTACGAACACCTGCGATGGAGAGAGGATTTAGAAAACTAGAAAGGACGGGGTAAAGGAGTACGTACTGGATCTCCTCCAAGAGCATAGATGAGACCCACAATGTCTCCCACCAGATCCACAGGCGTGAGCTTGAAGTTGCCGGATGAATCCCTGGGACACTCGGTGAGACCATAGCCTCGCAAGTCTGGAGCAACGGCGTGGAATCCAGCGTCCGCCAGCGCCTTGAGTTGGAACCTCCATGTATACCACGTCTCGGGGAAGCCATGGAGCAGCACCACAGTCGGCCCTCCTGATCGATCATGTTCTCAAAATCATCTTTTGCTTCTCGTTTCTTTGATTGCCTTACCTGACCCCATCTCCGCGATATGCATCTTGATGCCATTTGTGTCAATCACGCGGTGCGTTGCTCCTTCCGCCATAGCCGTGAAAGAATGCAAGAACTGTTTGCTCTAAGATTCCACTGTAAGTCCAAGACAAAATCGTTTTTTTTCATTGCCACAAAGTCCCACGACCAGAAGGTTAAAACGAATCTAGGTTCTCGTCAGCCAGCGAGTGATCAACTGGAGCCCTGCGGATGTGCAGGATGCTATACTCGTTTCAAGATTTTCCTGTGTTAGTTACGTTTGGTTCATTTCCATAGAAGGAAATTTGAGCCGCTCCTCATATTTCTCGCTCTTTTATTTTGCCTTGCGGTATTTGCGAGCAATCTCCTCTGGAGCATCATAAAAAATTCCAGCTCATGTAGACGAGACTCACAATGCTTCCCACAGATAAACTCCTTGAGACCAAAGCCGAGGAAAGTGTTTTGAGTTGGAACCTTATACCACGTCTCCTCATAAAGCAATTTTTTTTTCCTTCCTTTTGTGCTCTGTGATATTGGTGTCGATCTTGCTCCTTCCGCCATGGCCGTCAAGAACAAGAACTCTTTGCTCTAAGATTCCACTGCAGAAAATTCTTGTTTTCATTGCCACAACAAGTTTAAGAAACCGGAACCAAACAAAACGAAACTCTTTAGCTGGTAACTGTGTTACTGGTTCGCTGGGGATGTAGAAGAGGCCACAGTTGAGCCGGGACGCCGGCTGCCCGTCCAGCCTTTTCTTCCAAAAACTCGCGGCTACGCCATGCCTGAAGCGCATCAGTGGGGCTCCAGTTGGTCTCTCGACGGCCGACGAGAACCTTGAGCATGCCATCGAAGTAGCGTTTGGCTTCGGTTCCCAGTGGTCGACTCGCAGAGGTGCTGGGCATTTCATAGCCCTGCTGCAGGCTGCATGAACGAGAGTTTGAGCATGAGAGACGAGCTTGAAATCGGGAAAAGAAAACTTTCTTACGTGTAGAAGAAGAAGCGACCAACTGGATGGAGGCCATCCGGCACCTTCATGTCCTCCAGAGCCATCTTCTTTTTCCACATCGCGAACTGGAACAGTACTTCTTCTTGAGTAGCGCTTGGAGTGAACTTCTTGGGATTGACTGGAGCTTCCTTCTCTGGAAAACCTGTTCACGGAGAAAAATGCCAATTGGGAAAAGCAATGGCACAACTTACATTTCAAGCTCTTCGAAACAATCCTTTGGTGTCGGACCTGCACGAATCCGTCTATCTCTAGAACTCCGTAGTACCACCGGCTCTTATCTTCGGCCTGGAAATCTCCACGAAGTTAGAGCCACATTTATGAAGCAGAAGAACATACCATGATGTAAACCGGCCGCCAGTAATCTTTCGAGAGTGCTGCCGTCTCGCGGAGCTCATCTATGGCATACATCGCAGGCTGGAACAGATCCTTGATCCCAGCCTTGGTCTTCCATTCCTTGACGAACTTCAGCTGCTGGCCACGCACGGTCTGGACGCTCTTGAACACATGCAGCAGCACGACGGAAGAAGAAGCGAGAGTCGCACACTGTGCAACGTCCTCCTCTTCATCCTCTGACGACAACTCCGGATCCGGATCGACGAGGAGCTCCTCGTTGTTTGCGTACTTGACTGCAAAGCCTTGCTTTCTATCGGGCTCTTTCTTGCTGTATATGGCAGCTTTCTCCGGCCCGGGTCTCGTAAAACGGCCGAGGTTGCGCGTCATCCTGTCGAGAATGGGTGCCTCGGAAGGGTCCTCGCCTTGAAAGGTAGTGGAGTAGAGCACGTCCGAGGTAACAAGGTCGCTAATGCACCTCAGGGTTTCGTCACGCATCTCGATTACGCAAAACCTGCGAGAAGGTTTGAAGTATCCAACAGCGAATAAAGAGCACGGACCGATCGTAAAGGGGCATTGTCCTGCAAAACGAGAGCAAGCCAAAGCGCTGCCAGAACTCTTGCTCCTTGATTTCGCATGGTGTTTTGGCAAACAGCTCGTCACTCTTATCCTTTCCCTGGAGCTGGTTGACAAGGGCTTCCAGCTACAGAGATACGAGAGCTTGCATGAGAAATCTCGCTGACCGTCCTACACAAATTACCTCCTTGTCGGACAAGTTTGTGATTTGCTGGAGAAGCCTTTGGCGCTTGCCCGGCCTTCCTTCGTAATCCTCGTAATCTTCATCAGATGACATATTTGACAAGTTGACCTAGGGTTGCCCTTTTTATGACCTAGGGTTTTTCAATTTAAATAGTAATTTATATATTTCACTCGTATAGAAGAATATTAATTCTAAAATGAGTTATATTCATTTCTTTGAAACCAGGTTTTATATTTTCAAAGACTAAAATTTTTCGTCGGGTCCATCCAATAATGTGGCCAGTTGGATGGGTATAACTGGAAAAATTGGGAGTTTCCAAACTCTATTCTTCCAAGCTATGGCTCTAAGATTCTTCCAAGGTTCCATCGCTTACTTTTATGAGCTTCTTAAACTAAGCTGATGCTGGGGAAGTTACTGGGTAAATCCAGGATGTTGGAAGAAGAAGAAATCCTTGTCCAGAAATATGCCAAGTGCGGCAAGGTTGACGAGGCTCTTGAGATTTTTCACAGGCTTGCGGATCCCAGTGTTGCGACGTGGAACCTACTGGGCGCTGGGCATGCACAGGTCGGGCAACTCAAGAAATCTAGGCAAATCTTCGAAGAAACACCGAGGCGCGATGTAATCTCGTGGACTGTTATGGCGACTGGGTTTGCCATAAACGGTCACATTGACGCTGCCAGGCTCACATTCGATCTGATGCCTGCGAGGAGCACAGTTTCATGGAACTCAATGATCAAAATCTATGCCGATGATGGGCAATTGAAAGAGGCAAATTGGCTTTTCGATCAAATGCCACATCCCAACACAGTTTCGTGGACATCTCTCATGTCCGCAAATGCCCAAAAGGGGCATTATTTGCAAACGAAGACTCTGTTTGACCGCATGCCACAGCGCGACATGGTGACGTGGACGATGATGGTCACGGCGTACGGGAAAGCGGGGTGCGTTGACCAGTCCGCGTCAGCGTTTGACAGGATGAGCTGGCGAGACATGGTAACGTGGAATGCCATGCTACACGTCTATGCCGCGAATGGGTGTCTTGACGGGGCCGTTGCTACATTTGGCCAGTTACCGCAGCGCAGCGTCATTGCTTTAAACGCAATTATCCACGCTTTCTTCGAATCTGGAAAAATTGAGCAAGCAAAGTCTATGTTTGATCAGATGAGCCACCGAAATAACATCACTTGGAACACCTTGTCTCAAGCATATGCCCAAAGAGGAGATATGCACACTGCAGCTGCTATACTTTCAAAGATGCCCCAACAGGACGTCGTGACATGGACCGCAACGATCCACCACCTTGCAGAGTCCGATCGTCTTGATAAAGCGCGAGAAATGTTCGATCGAATAACAAATCCAGACGCAGTGGCCTGGAACGCAATGCTTTCAGCATATACCCAGTCAGGGCATCCGCTGGAGAGCCTCAATCTCTTCCGGGAGATGGCGTTGCGAGGCACGGCCGTTCCCACAGACTACACATTCTCGATCGCCCTCGACGCCTGCGCGACGCTGTCCGCTCTCGCCGACGGGAGGATCATCCACGCTCTCCTCCCGAGCTCGAGCCTCGCCTCGGTGGTGGTGAGGACCGCGCTCGTCAACATGTACAGCAAGTGTGGGAAGCTGGACGAGGCGAGGGCGGTGTTCGACGGCGTCGAGGAGCAAGACCTTGCGAGCTGGAACGCCATGGTCGGGGCATACGCGAGGAACGGGCATGCGCTCGAGTCCCTGGCGCTCTTCCGGTCCATGGAGCTCTGCGGTATGCCGCCGGACGAGACGAGCTTCATGAGCGTCCTGGGGGCGTGCAGCCACGCCGGGCTGGTGAGGAGGGCCTACGGCTACTTCGCGGCCATGCCGCGCGACTATGGCGTCACGCCGGACGTGGAGCACTACCGGGCGGTGCTGGACGTGCTGGGGCGGTCGGGGAGGCTGGGGGAGGCCGAGGATCTCATCGCGAGCATGCCGTTTTGGCCGGATGGGCTATCGTGGACGACGCTGCTGGGCGCTTGCAAGGGGCACGGGGACGTCGAGCGCGCGGAGAGGGTGGCAAGGAATGCGCTCGCGCTTGTTCCGGAGCATCCCCTGGCTTATGTGCTCCTCTCTAACATCCAAAAGGCTGGTGCCGAGTTCCAGGACGATCTGGAAGAGGATTCATAGTGCCATGGTATAGCTGATGGGAATTTTCGACGCACATTCTTTAAAGACAATTATCGCTAGATTGGCAGATCCCAAGCAAACCATGAGGATGCCACAGTGTCCATCAGGCAATGGCGATGCTTTACTATTTGAAGAAGCGTATGAGCAGGAAGTTCACTTCCTCAGGCGAGTCGTCGCCATTGGAGCTGATACATTATAAAAATTCATCCTTTGGGCGATCATGTTTCTAAAGATCACGTCTAAGTAAAGCTCAACAATGAAAAACATAATTTATATTTGTAAAAAAAACTTTTAGTAGTATCGTTTGGCACCCATAAAAATGCAATGTAAGGCTCCAGATTTTGGCAGTGATTACTATTACCTTTAAATTTCATTGTGAATTTTAATTGACTTGCAACTGCGTGTGAAACGCAAGCGAAAACAGTCAATCTCACCACACAAAATTCCAGCATGGAAAGTGAAGTGCCATGTCACTCGTAGCCCGGCCTATCACAGCGCCTTATCTTCCACCCCCTTATCTCTCCCCTGCAATCCAAACAGCTTACCTTATAGAAACAGCGTCCACTTTCTCGCTATCTTTCCTTCGCTGGAAGCTCTTCCAAAGGGGGCGATGGCGGCCACTTCTTTCCTGGGATCTCCAGCTCTGCTCAAGCCACAAACCACTTCCCAGGCCAGCACTGCGGCTCCTCTCAAGACCAACTTGGCGATCAAGGCAGCTCAAGGCAAAGACGAGAAGAGCAGCAGGAGAAACATCGTCGGGATTGCAGCAGCTGCGTTGCTCGTTGGAGGATTGCTGTCCGGCGAGCAAGCCAAGGCCGGGCTTGTGGAAGATCTTCTCGCAAAGTCTGCTGCTAACAAGGTATGTCGCGTCGAGGCTGCTTGCGTAGATCTTACTCGCGAGAGATCTGGCTGCAGGAGCTAAATGATAAGAAGCGACTGACAACGAGTGGAGCGAACCTGGCCCGTGCCTACACAGTCGAGTTCAATACTTGCAGGTTCCCGTACAACTTCACCGGCTGCCAAGATCTCGCGAAGAAACAGGTACGGTAGTAGCGAGCTTGAGCACAGCCTTGAATTTGCTGCTGCATATTCTTATCCAGGATGTCAAGTTCTTGAGCGACGATCTGAAGCTCGAGTGCGAGGGCAAAGATAAGTACAAGTGCGGCTCCAATGTATTCTGGAAGTGGGGGAAGTAAACACATGAAATGGAAATCTTACGAAAAGTTGATCCAGTCTTGTTGATTGTTCAAAAACGGAGAAAACAAATCGACCATTGCTGCGAAGCATAGATTGTGATCCTGTATAAAAAAAGAACGAAAAAAGGAAACGAGTAAATGAGTATGAGATTAAAATGATTCTTATGTACTTCCGTATTACGTCTATATACAGATTGACTACATCCCTGCTTCCGCGTTTCCCGTCGCAGGGATGGTTTTGGAACAAACGTTTCCCCTGCACAAGGGGCACACCCTGCATTAAGCAAGAACAAAAGAGTTAGAATAAGACAAGCAAGAAAAGGTCCTCTCTCATTTATTTACCTATGAACTTCTTTGAGCCACTTGTCGACACAGGCCTGGTGGTACTCATGTTGACACGGCAGAACCCGGATCTGATCCCCTTCCTCATATTCCACCAAGCATATGTGACACCTGAAGCGCACGGCGATCTATGTGTTATTCAACGCGCAAAACTTTATCCTCAAGGACTTACTGTGCAGCTTCCTCGGCCCTTTTGTAAGAACGAACCGGGATCGAATTCACTACTGTATCTGGAGCAGGAAGCAATGCCAAAGGCATACTCGCAGACTGCGACAGTGCTACTGATTGCCTGTGGATCTCGTCAAGCACCTGAAGCAGTAACAAAAATCTCAGCTTGAAATCAAACGAAAACAAAAGGCAACAAAATGGACGAATGAAAGAATGCTACGAACCTCGAATAGTGCTTCCGCAAGCATGATAATGCGTGAGATGCTTGCTCTCGTGCTAGAGTCTTCACTGGCTTGAGTTTCACAGGAACAGTGGCCATTGAACTGCCCAGCGGCAGGACAGCTTCTTTCGTGGCCATGAGAAATTTGGAGACCCCCGCTAAGTCGTTGCAGCGCCCAAACCTGGAAGACGAACACCAAGAACAATAGAAAGAAGTTAAAATCTTACGTGAGAAAAACGAAGGCATGAGAAAAATAAAAAGAGAAAGCTTTTCTTACATGTGAACGAACGTGTCGTCTTCGTTCTTCCCAGTCCATGGCTCTGTCACCTTCCGTGTGCTCGGCATCGGACGAGCTCCTCCAGTGTTGAAAGTTCCAGCGGCTGGTGGAGGAGCCATTGTCATCGATCTCCTCGATCGCCACAATGGTGATAGGAGCGGTGCTGCGTCGGTGCGATGCCGCCCTCGTCAAGGCGTCCCAGAACCTCCTCCCACTGTTGCGTCGCGACTCTCGCCCGGAGTGATCCACGGCACGCACGAGATCGACGGGGATCTCGTCGAAAAACTGGTTGGAATCACGAGCCAGTTGCTGTGGAGTTCGCTGCCTGGTAGTAGCTTCGCTGGAAGGAGGAGGATTTTCCACGGCGAGCGGAGAAGAAGAGGACGATGATGACGACGACGATGACCCAGTAGCCTGTTCTTCATCGCCTGACCTGTCCAACTTATCGAGTTCTTCGTCACTGTCCAGCCCATCCTCTTTGTCCTCGTCAAAAGAAGACGCGATCGATCTCGCGGCTGACGAGCTCTGGGGATTCTCGACCTCGACAATCACCGATTCACGAGCCTCCCGGCCTCTCTCGGTGCACGAGCATCCGGGGGGACGATCCGTGGACTCCATGCTGCTAGATCCCCTGGAAATTTCGATCTGTATCTGATCCCTGCCCCGCGATCCACCATCCCTAGGAAGCGAGGAGCCCTCATCGAGCCGAAATATCGCAGCGCCATCGCTCCCGGACGAAATTCCTGTCTGCCGGCCGCGAGAAACCCTTCCCTGCGAGGCAAGACACCAAGAAAATCACTCCCCGGGCACCAAGAAAACGATTTTGCGGCACGCGATCGAATCAAGAAGAGAGAATGGAGGAGCAGCAAAAGAATCATCCAAGAAAGAATCAAAGGAGGAAGAAAAGAAGATCACTAGACCTCGGATTGGTTGCGGCAAGCATCAGATGCATGGCCTCGCTCCCTTCTGCTGGAGCGCAGCCTAGAAGCATCAAGATTTCTGCTACTACTGGATCCCATACCTCGATTATAACACCGACCTCGAGCTGGAGCTAGGGCGCCCTAGAGATCCAAGAGAAATCACCGCCTCTCTCTATCTGCCTCACAGATTATCAGGAAATCCCCCGGCGCAGCCACATTCCAATCAGTCGCCCCGACCACAACAAGACGACGCCGACGGCGAGGAGGAACAAGCTCGAGACACCATAGCCACGGGCAACCGGGCAGGCTAACACGGTGCGTGTGGCCATTATTGGTGGTGGCCCGGCAACGGGCAGCGGGCAGCAAACGCCATGTGAATCCAATATTCTTTTGACTTTAGTGGCCCCCGATTAAATCTTTTCCTTTTCGCGGATAAGCACGATTCTTAGCACCCCGAACGTCCCGGGTTCGAATCCCAGCCCTCTTTCAATCTATCGAGAACAAAATTTTCAGCTCTCTCGCTCGGAAAAACAATGCCATCCTTGTACAAAGTTTTTGGTTTGTCAGTAAAAGAAACAAAGACAAGATCTTTCCCCCTCGAAGAACAAAGAACAGCTATATACTCCTCAAACTTTTTTCTCGCCGCGTTGTTGTGGTTGGATCATCCATCTCTCTCTTCTCTCTCTCTCAAATCTCTTCTTTCATATCTTACACCAGTCGGTCAGATCAGATCGCTAGCAGCAGCAAAACGCAAATTTTGAGGAGCAAAATCAGAAAACCCGTGTCAAATCCTTTCACCCTTCCCTGTGTTGTGTGTGTTCTTCCTTTTTTCCTCTTTCCTTCCAAATTCCAGCTCGCTTTCCTATAGAGAAATTTTTTCCCTCTCATCAGCGCTTGTGAGGCCGCTCTCTCGTGTCAACAATCTCCTCCTCGTCCTCCTCGGTTCCTCTACTTCGCTTCTTCCGCGAGGATCCTGTCGCTGCTACTGTCGTGGCTACTGCTGCCGCGGTTGTTATTGTTGTGGTGGTGGTCGCGGTTGCTGTCGCGGGGGTGTCGTCCGTGGTGGGAGTCTCCTCCTCGTCGAATTCCTCGTCTTCCTCCTCGTCTCCTTCACCCGGCTCGAAGTCGCTCGCGCCCTCGTCTTCCTCTTGTTGCATTATCGGTTGCACGAGATAGTCCGTTCCATAGTCTTCCTCGACCTGGAACCGAAACACGAAACCCATCAGAGGAATGAAGGAAACGAAAAAAAAAAACCAAGTTTTGCAAGCTGCTATCCGAGACCGAGTGAGATCCACAAGCCCATGCAGCAAAACCCAAAGCAAACAATGGAAAAATAAAATTTTTACCTCTTCTTCCTCTTCCTCCTCCTCGTCCTCCTCTTCGTCATCGTCATCGTCCTCGCCAATCTCCCCGTTCTCATCCTCCTCCTGGATCTCTACATCGCCCTCAGCGGCAGCCATCGGCGGAGCCGCCACTCCTCCTCCTCCTCCTCCCGCCCCTCCCGGCGCTTGCTCCAGGAGCTCCTCCTCGTCCTCGCCATCTTCATCCTCCTCCTCCTCCGCCGCCAGCTCCTCATCACTGTCATGAACATCGTGAACCTCGACCACGTTGTCTCCATCTTCGTCCTCCTCGTCCTCCACTTCCTCGTAGTCGGACCCATTCTCCTCGTCCTGCCCGCCACTGGCAGTAGCAACGGCGGCGGCACCGCCGCCGCCAACACCACCAGCAACCCCGCCCGGAGCGCCACCGGCGGAGGCAGCCAACTCCTGGAAGCTTTCCTCTTCCTCTTCCTCGTCGAGCTCTTCATTCTCGCCGCCATCTTCTTCGTCTTCCTCATCCTCGCCATCCTTAGAAGAGGAGAGATTCGGTGGCCTTTGCCCGTTTGCATGCTTTTGGTGGCCGCCGAGATCCTCCTCGTCTACGCCCTCGCTGTTAGCATCCTCCCCATCCTCCTCCTCGGACTCCTCCTCCTCGGACTCGGGCCTCTCGTTGTTGTCCGCGTCCACCTTGTCGAGATACTTGAGCGTCTTGATCATCCCAAACACCTGGGCCCTGTAATTGGGAACTTTGGTCACCGGGCACTCGTAGAGATCGAGCGAGACGAGCCTCAGCCGGGTGAGCGGCGACAGATCCTCGAGGCTGTGAATCTTGTTGTTGGACAGGTCGAGATCCCGGAGCGAGTGGAGCCCCGCCTCGACCAGATGATCCAGGCCACCAGCAATGCGATTGTCGCTGAGCGAGAGCTGCTCCAGGCGCGCGAGGCGCGGGAAATCGGCCAGCGTCGAGATGCCCGTGTTGGCGATGGAGAGCGTGGTAAGCTGGATGAGCTGCTCGAGGAGAGACCTGGGTGGGAGGCGGCCCTGCGAGCACTTAACGCAGCCGTCGAGCATGAGCGCCTGTGCTGTGGATGGATCCTCGCCGCCCAGCGCCGTCTCCACGGCGCGCTGCCATGCCTCGTCCATCCACAAACCCTAGAAAATCTCACACCGAGAGGCGCTCTCTCCTCTTCCTCTCTCCTTCCAATCCCTGCGCACGATTTCTAGCCCTAGCCTAGAGCGCCAGGACTCTCGATTCTCCTCTCCCTCTCCTCCACGGCCCCTCCTCCCTTCTTTTCTTGGCAGCAAAGAAAGGAAAGAATGCGCCCGCTAGCAAGAACGTTCTTTGGAGCGATCGCCCGGACCGCAGCGGTGATCGCCCGAGATCGCCCAAGAACGCCGACCCCAGCCCTAGCTAATCGGCCGGGAAGTTTTCCCGGCGGGTCTGACCGACACGTGGCGGGCGCGGCAGGGGAGCCGTTGGATCTGTGCGTGCCGGGGGATATTCCTTGCGCACGAGGAAGATGCTTGCTAGTTTATTATAGGTAGGTCTAACGAAAGCTTTAGATTTGTCTGAGAGAGGGGAAAAATTTTTAGCAGCGGGCAGGCAATGCCAGAGATTTTTTTTGGAGCCCCTGGATCGAACGAACGAGTTGGATCGAGCAGCGCAAAAATTCGAGGAGGGAATGAAAGCTCTTACCTCTCTCGAGAGAAGAAATGGAAAGTTCGTCTAGGTGATCACGACCGTGATCTCCCCCTTGTCCAGAGCATCGTAGAACTCGTTCACCTGGCGGCGATAGTTTACGTGCCACATTTTCCACACAGCGCCCACTGGAAAAAAACAACCGGAAAATCGAAAATCAATCGAGAAACGAAATCGATAAGCGAGAAAATCGGTGAGCTGAGCTAGAGATGAAACGCTTACCCATCAATCCCAGGCCGAGCCCGATGCAAATCTCCCGAGTGACAAAGGCGGGGTCGTCAGCCCTCCGCCCGACCACTTGCTTGACACCGTGAGAGACTTTGCGCGAGCCGGTCTCCACAGCCTTCTTCACAGCAGCTCCGGCGGCCATTCTTCTTCCTTCTTCCTTTCCTCACACCCTAAGCGAAAGAGGAATGAATCACTGTTAATATAAAACGATGCCATTAATGATAAATTAAGCAGATGTTTACCATAACCACGCGTTCATCGTCGCTTATCAATGGAGCAAGAGGAATGGTGGCTCCTAGAAATCAGGGGAGTATAAAAATCGAACGAGAGAGACAATAATGGACAGACCTTGAATTTGGCATGGCATGCTTGAGTTCGATCCATTTATCTCTGAAAAAAGAGTTTTTTTTTTTTAAATCACAACATTTCTAGCATTTCTAGCTATCGACGGTAGAGGTACCTGGAAATTTTTCTTCGAAGCCATCTCCCAAGCTCTCAAGAAAAAGAACTTCTTCTCTCCACCTCCAAGAGAAATGCTGAAAGAGAGCCAAAACCTGCCGATAAGATCGATCGCAGCGAAACAAGATCTCTCGCAACCTCTTCTCTCTGAGAAATGCTGAAAGAGAGCGAAAACCCCTGCCGATACGATCGCTCGCAGTGAAACAAGATCTCTCGCTTGTGAATCTTCCATACCTTGATCGGAGCCATGAAAGAAATCCCAGCGCCGCGCGCGAGATCGACGCGCCCGCTGACGAAATCCCTCCGCCGCGCGAGCGTCGCGCACGAACAAACGAAACAATCGCAGCTCGACCTAAAGAAAGCACCGCCACGCGTGGATTTGAAAATCCATGCAAAGAAGGTAAGGTAAAAACTCTCTTTATTTACTCGTGGTGAATCCTCCAGGAAAATCACTCTAGCGGTAGCATCACTTCGTTTGTTCTTAGAAATCCGGGTGTCCATGGCGGATTGTATCGCGCGAGGATGTAATCGCCCGCGACCTGATAGCCCGCCGCTGCCAGATTCTTACGCAAGAGCTCCACCTTGTTCTTCACCAGATCATCACCGGCGACGCCAGTGAATCCCAGGACCCCAAACTTCTGCTGTGGAAGAGGAATCACGCGCACTCGCTCGTCCATCGGGCGAGGAATCGACTCCATCGTCAGCCCAGACGGCAGCACGAATTGCATCGTCACGCGGCCATCGCTCTTGCTCTCGATCACCGGCGCATTCGCAATTGCGCCTCCACTCGACGATTGCTTCGTGATCACTGGCGCCGTCATGGCGATCTTCTGCGCGGGCTCGTTCTTGGGCTTGCCCAGCGCGCCGATGTAATCAGCCAGGATCGAGAAGCCGCCATCGCGGCCGCTCCTCATCTCCGCCGGATCGTAGCTCACCTCCGCGATGATGCGCGGCGCGTAGTCTCTCACCTCGAATCCATCCTCCTTCCTGACAAGCTCGTACTTTGGTGTCTCCACGCTGATCTTCCCCAACACCATCCCCATTCTCTTTTGCCCTCTCTAGCTCTAGAGAAGTTCCCTGCCGCCATAGCTATAAAGCTCTCTTCAAGTGGCTGGGATTGCGCCAAGTCGACGAAGCTACCACAAAGCTCCATGTGTAAAAATTTAAAATCAAAAGTTTTAGGGTTTTGGAGCGCTTAGATTTTAGGGCTTGGAGTGGGATGGATTGGCCCAGGGCGCTCCATCCCTACTACGCATTCCACGGCGCGGCGATCATCTCATACCTCGTGCTCCATCACACGGTGCTGCGATCTGCCGCGCCTTCTGCTCGATCGCGGCTCGAGAAATGGGTAAGATTTTGGCGCTTTGGCTCTTCCCTGTACCAATTCACGTTGTGAACAGGAAATGCAAGCTGCATTGAGCTTGGGGATCGTCCTGGCGATCAGGGTAAGTGTGTTTGTGATGAGCGCTTCCTAATCGGTGAAAAATCGCGAAGTGTGTGAGGCGGATTACGTGGGAGGTTTTCTTGTCGGATGCTCTTTTATACTCCAAAGTAAGCTCTCTCTCTTTTCTCCGTCTCGAGCGTTCTTAAGCTTGTCTCTTTTTTCTTCTTTTTGCCAGGCTTTGGTGGCATTGCTCGCTTTTATGCTGGATTGGAGGCTTCTAGCATGGTACCTAGTTATCTTTGCAAGTATAGAGTCTTCTTCTTTCACAGTTTTCTTCTTCGTTTTTAAGACTGTGTTTTACTTTTGTGTCCAGTGCTGTTTCTTCTTTGTGTCCAGCCAGCGCCCTCAGATGAAGGTAAGTCGTAGGTGTTGCTTAATCCGAGCTTGTCTAACACTCATGACTTTCTCAGGTAACGTCCTTCCACTCACACCTTTGCAACTAGAAAATCTTCTTACGGACGGAAATCAGAATATCGTTCGACTGGTACGAAAATGCTTGTTCTCTGAAAGGTGATGATATATAATGGCGGCGCAGGTTGAATTCGGAGCTGTATGGTCCCCTCGCTGCGTTCAACTGAGGAGACTCTTCTCCGAAATCTCAGTCAGGTCTTGAGCACTACTTTCCTTACAAAGAAAACAAATCAATCGTAATCCCGTGGTGGTACAGATACTCGAAAAGCGGTGTGCAGTTTTCACGGATTGACTTGGGACGATTTCCGAGTGTTGCTGCTAAATACGGCATAGAATTTGGAGGTTTCTTTTCTCTAAACAAGCTTTCGTGAATTGACGCGGCTTTTTCCAGTTGCTCTTCGGCAGCTTCCAACGCTGATAATGTTTGAAGGAGAAAACGAAGTGTGTAGATTGCCGGAACGAAGCTATGATGGCACATTTTCAGCTCAAAGCTTATCAGAGGTACTCGATTCTCTTCTTTTTACGTTTCCTGAAAAATAACGGCTTTTCATTGCAGAAGAATATCATCCAAAAGTTTGGACTTGACGCTCACATGCTGCAAAGAATGTCTCGTCAAATCCAACTTCGCCAGAGCTTTCAAACTGTGAAGCAAAGCAATTGATTGGAAGGTACTAAAACATGAGAAAAGTTTTTTTTTTTTTGAGCTCTCAGCTATTCCTCGCTTGCCTGATTCTTCAATTCATCCTCGGTTTTTCTAAAGAACACGTCCCATGCACTTCCAGGCCCGGTGTCGAGGTAGTCGAGAGGAACACCGCTAGTGGCAGTGAGATTGGGCTGCACAAGCCCCTCTCTTTCGATAATCCTGAACTCTACTGGAGTAGACTTGGCCGGAAGCTCGTCGCTTCCTATCGTGAGGCTGCCCAAGCTGCTCAAAGTCTTGCTCTCTAGACCGTCACCCATGGCCTCGAGCTCTTCCCACGAGAATAACAGAGGCAGCGTGGAGCCTCCCCACGGATTGAAGTCGAGCAACCTAACTCGCAGATCCTTCGTCACGTAGACATCAAACGTATAGCTCTCCAGCTCGAACTTTCCCAGCAAACTGTTCTCGAAGAACCCCGAGATCGCAGTCCTCAAGCTGTCCTTGGAGCTGACGAGCGAGGAGTAGAAACCTGTGACTTCCCTCTGGCAGACCCCCAGCAAAGCCCCCCGGCGGACAAACGCTCGAAACTCCATCTCCGGCCTCAGATCATACCACTTGCGCAGAGCCAGCACAAGCTCCTCCGGACGCCCGGTGGAAGAAGCCGGCTTGTCGTCGCAGTTGTCAAAGGCGTGGCACAGGTCGTGGACGATCGAGTCGGAGGCCTTGAGAAGCAGCGAAACATCTCCAAAACTCTGACACTTGAGGTTCTTGGACGAGCTGATCCATGTTGCATCCTTGGGAGCACTCCAGTTGAGCTTCGGCAGCACTGCTCCTCCAAGCCGCCGGATCGAAGCCTCCACTTCCGCCTCGAGCTCGGGGAAAGAAGGCTGCTGCTGCTGCTCTCCGCCGTCTTCCTCGTCCTCTTCATCCCACTTCTCGTATCCGTCAGCCTGTAGCTCTGGGATCTCCGGAACCAGCCTCGATGGAAGATCACTCGAGGGGACGAAGAAGTCGCCGTCCAGGAGGTGCGAGACGAAGGCCTCCGGAAGCCTGTGAATCTCGGTGGCGATGGAGACCGACTTAAACCGAGGATACCACTGCTGGACCTGGCACTCGAGAACCTCCACCTCCTTCATCGTGAGTAACTATGAACTCTACCGTGTAGTATCCCCTAGTACTGTACTTACAAGAACTTTTCTTTTGTTTTCAAGCAGCGAAGGATTTGCCACAGCCACAAGTAGACGTCGCGTTTGGATTCTTGAAAGAAAATCCACCACCGATAAGAGCGTCGCTGTAATCGAGCTGCATACCAAAGAGATACAAGAGGCTCTTTGGATCACACACTGTGAGGCAAGCAAGCAGAGAAGAAGTTAGCAAGAACAAAACGAAAGAATTCGAATTCTCCTGGCTTACCCATCGTGAATCCTTCTTGCTCCATCACGGAATCATCGCTTCTCACGTTGCCTCGGTCCTCAAAATCCATGATATAGGACATGCCCGAGCATCCTCCCTGCCGGACCCCGACTCTGAGGCACAGATCCTTCTTCTGGTCGGCTCGCAGCTTCTGGAGATGGGAGAGCGCCTTGTCCGAGAGAGTGATCGCCGGGACGAGATTAGGCGCTGGCGATTCCACTGCGGCAAGCTGGAAATCTAGAGAAGCGCGCAAAAACCCTAGGGATCAATCCATACCTGCGGCAGCCCTTATAGTCGAGGCGCGGTGATTCGATGGCCGTGCCGTCGCAGCCAGGCGCTGTGGCCACAAGAATGAGGGGATCGATGCCGCCATAGCTGGAAGGAGCGCGATATTTCGAGCGAGGTGGTCTCTCAAGAAATGCGAGGAAGAGAATATACGAGCAGAAGGAGAGAAATATTCCCGGCGGCGTTGGAATATACGTTTTGTACGGCAGAACAAAACCTCCGTAGTAGCTATGGCGAATTTTAGGGCTTGGCAATTTTGAGCTGGGAGGTTTTGGCCGTTGGTACCATGGCGGGGAGCGGCGAAGAGCCGCTCAATCGGGAGCTCTATCGCGTTCCGGGCCACGCAGGTGAGTGAGAAATCCCAGATTTCTCCCATTTCTTCCTTCTCCTCCTTTTTTCCAGGGTGGTTTTCGTGGACCGGCATCCACTCCATCGAGCGCGAGGCCCTGGTGGAGTTCTTCGAGGGCAAGACGCTGTCCAAGACGCCAAAGATTTACAAGGAGTACCGCGACTTCATCATCAACAAGTACCGGGAGAATCCCCGGCGGCCGCTCACCTTCACGGAGATTCGCAAGATGCTCGTGGGCGACGTGAATTGCCTCCGCCGCGTCTTCGAGTTCTTGGAGCTGTGGGGGCTCATCAATTACCACCCCGATCCCGCCGAGGCTGTCAGCTCCATCGTACTGCCCTCCAACTCCAGCGCTGCCGCCGCTCCTCCTCCGCCCGGCATCCAGATCGTGTCAAAGTCATTCGCCGCCAACCCGGCCTCCAACTTGGGGTCGCGAGAGAACGCTTTCCACAGCAAGCAGCAGGGTGGCGGAGGTGGGAAGTCGCAAAACTCTCCGGACGGGAGCTCCTCCTCCGAGTGGACGGCCGAGGAGACGATGCTGCTGCTGGAGGCGATATCCAAGTATGGAGATAATTGGAACCGGGTCCAGCAGCACGTAGGGAGCAAGAACAGGGGGCAGTGCGTGAGGCAGTTCATCCAGCTCCCTTTTGGCGACCAGTTTCTGAACGAAGATCTTGGGGCCGTGTCGTCGTCGTCGCCGGTGGCTTCCAAGTCGCTGGAGAATGGGACGAGCCACGAGGTGAGGCATCCGACCAAGAAGCAAAAGTTGTCACACACGGAAGCCAAGGCAGCCAAAGGTGCTCAGCACGCACACCAGGCAGCGCCCAACACCGCTAGCGCGCATCAACCGGAAGCTCACCATGTTTTGGAGGAGGTGACGCCTTTGACAGACGCCTCGAATCCACTCCTCTCGCAAGTGAGTCTCACAGCATTGCATGGTTTTTATTATCGTTTTAACCTTTTGGTTTTTATTCTTTTTTTTACTCTCGGACAGATTGCTTTCATGTCAGCAATGGTGGGTCCTCGAGTGGCTGCTGCGGCCGCTCAGGCCGCCCTGGCAGTTCTCGCCGAGGAGGAGCCCGCGGTGTCACAATTACCATTTTTGAATCAGCAGCAACAGCAACAGCATCACCCGCATCAACAAAAGGGGCAACAGCTGTCAAAGGAGCAACAGCAGCCAAAGGAGCAACAGCAGCAGCAGCAGCAGGATGAGCAAGTGGCCGCAGATAAAGAGGAAAACAAGCAAAACAACGCTGAAAAGTACGTGATGCCACGCACTCTTTTTCCGGATAAAAATCCCGTTTTTCTCGTTCTTGCAGCGACTCCGACGTAAAGCCTGAGGCGGACGCCACTCCGGAAGTCAAGCAGCAGCAGCCATCAGGTACTAAACAAGCTCTTCTTGTTTCTTTCTTCGATTAGACATTTCATTTGGGACGAACTTTATGAACAGCGGAGCCAGTGGAAGACAAGGATCAACATGCAAAGAAGGACAAGGAAGAGACGAGGATTTCGGCGGCAAAGCTGCGTGCGGGGCTTGCTACGGCCATGGCTGCCGCAGCTGTGAACGCGAAGCAGCTGGCGGACCGTGAAGAGCGTGACATGGAGCTCCTCATGGCCAACATTATTGAGAGCCAGGTGCGTAGGAGCAAAAAGCTTTCTTTTCTGTATGGTAACAGATCGAACTTTTCCTTTGGCAGCTAAAGAAGCTCTACAGCAAGCTCGATCATTTCGAAGAACTCGAGCAGCTAATGGACATCGAAAGGCTGCAACTCCAACAGATGCGAGAGCAAGTGTTTGTGGACCGCCTCCAGCTCATGAGGCAGCAGCACGCGAGCGCCGCCACCGTTGCCGCATCCGCTGCTACGTCCGCGCAAGACAAGCCATCGTCATAACTTTCACTCTAGCAGAGAAAAAAGCTCCAAACTTTTGTGTAACATAAACATTTGTAACACAGTGACCCCAAACTTTTTGATCTCTTCCAAGGGAAAAAGAAAAGAGGATCACAGGCCAGGCCTCCTCCATTCCGGAGCCACTTATGCGTTATATACAAAAGCCACAGCGAGCGTCTCTCTCTCTCGCCACTCCACAGGCTTCTTCTTCATTGTCATCAAGTTCCTTCCTCCATAAGTAACTTTGCGTTGATGGAATGCATCGATCGTCCAGACCGAGCGTTGCTTTCGCTTCTTCCAAACCAGTCTGGTCCATCCGGTCATATCACCGGGTGTTCTCTGATGGGATGTAAGGCTCGAACAGCGTGGCCCAGGGATTGAAATCGAAGGCGACCACGTTTGCTGCTCGAGAGAATTCCGCACGGAGTGCCTTGATGCTGTGCTTGTCCACAACCCGGCCCAGATCGTGCGTCACTTCGAACGGGTCCTCTATGCAGATGAGGTGGCGTTCGTTGCCAATGCGTCGTGTCCACTCTTTCTCGTTCTTGCTGTAAACCAGAAAGAAAGACAAGATCACGAACTTCGTCTGAAGTTTTTACTGGTTTTACCTGAGATATCCTCCAGTTCGGACGGATATAACCGAGTGGTTGTAGTCGTGTTGGCAAGCCCAATAATCAAAAAATGCAGTCAGTAGTTCTCCCAAAGTTTCCTTGTTGTCGGCTCCAAAGTCACGCAGCGTCTCGACTTGATCGTAATACGCGCATCTGATGCTTCCCACTTTCACTTCATACGTGGGTCGCATTTCCTGGCAAAAGCCACGCGGGAGTTTATAAACAAAAAAAACAGCAAGGAAAGGGCCATGCTTACCTGAAGACACGGGAGTATCGGCGGTCTCCTTTGCTGAAGAAAATGTATACACATCAACACATAGCTGGAAAACAGAACAGGAATAGCTTAATGCTGAATGACTCCCGCGAAAACAAATCAATACGTACGCATAACTCGAGAGAGTTCCGCGATAAGTATCGTTTACTTGTCGTCTCTTAGCCCAGTGCTTCACCATGAAAGCTAGCTGTCTCAGGCGCACGTCGATTTGAGCATAGTCGTGCAGTAACTTCGAGTTCACGACCGCCAGCGTGTTGTTCACACAGATGTCACAAGAGATGCCAGTTGCAGGCTCCGTAAACTTCACTATCGGAACTCTAGCATGCGTCAGCGCCTGCAGAGATGAAAAGAACAGCGGATTAATAGCGCGAGAACAAAGACAAGCAAGAAACCGACCTGTACGTTTAACATGGCATCTGACTCGAGGATAGTTGCCATTTGAACCACAAGTTCGATCTTGTTCGGTTCTTCTTCATCAACGGAGAGGCAAACATCGATGTCACTGTTACAAACTCCAAACGCATTGACACACGATCCGAAAAGAAAGAGGCGTGTTCCCGGGAGCTCCCTCTCGAACAGGGACTCAAGCTTTGAGAAGAACTTCCTTCTCCGGACCTCTTCTTCCTCGGTCGGTATAAGTTCGTCGTAGAGGGAGAGAAGCTCACGCGTGAAATTCTGCAAATCCAGTCGGTAAAGAAGATCACGTCTGTGCATGGGAATGACACGCCTGGACTCCCTGAAACGGTTCTCCTTTGGCTGTAAAGAGAGACAAATCAATGAAAAGGCTGCACAGAAAGCAAGCACATACCTTAAAGAACTGCGGAGCTTTACCCTCTCGACGGTGACCGTCAATTTGTAGCTCCTCGAGATCTAATGAAGCCGTCACGTCTTCTTCTTCCAAAGCATCTAGATTATGGAGCCTCTGCTTAGACTCCTCAAAAGCTGCCCCAACTGAAGAGTTTTGCGTACTTCCCGATGGTAAACCTGGATGTTCAAGTTGGGAAGCCAACGAGCGTGCCTTTGGAAACTTGTAGTCTGGCTTCTTCTCCGCTGGAAATGCTGCCTTCGAGTCGGCCTGTTTTATTCTCCATTCCTGTTGATGTTTTCTCCTCGCCTTCGAGTGAGTCCCGTTTGAAGATTTAAACGACTCGTCCCTTGCATCAGAGACATCACAGGAGGTGATGTCACTTGGCTCAGCATCTCTCTGCCTCTCATTTACCGCAATCCACTGGCCAGCAGAACCCCGACCACCGCGTCTGGCGTCAGTGCGGCCGGTACCTCGGCGCCTTCCCGCACCTCGAAAGTCATCGCTTCCTGGCTCAAATTCTGCCTCTCCATTCGCGTATCTCCCACGATACTCCTGTAGTCTTCCGGATGCTGAGTTCGTCCTCGGCTTTTCATTCGCCTTAGAGTCGACATAGTCGTAGCCGTTCAAAGGCTGTCTCGAGGAGGCAGGCTCCGATCCTCTTCGCTTCAAAAGTGAGAAACCAGCCGCTCCACCTCCATCAACTTCTCCAGACGTCTCGTTCACTTCAGCACTCAAACTCCGGTGGCTAGCTGACGGTTTGAGTTCGCCTTCTCCGTCAAACAATGCGTGCCTCGACGAGGGAGGAGCAGCCCACATACGTCCAAGGATGTCATTTGGACTCTCCGGTGGAGAAATGATTTGACGCCTCGGGGGTCCTATGGGGCCGTGAAGTGTAGATGGACTTCCTTTCTTCGATGGCTCTCCAGAGTCCCCACTGTCCGATGTAGCATCCAGCTTTGTCGAGGATGTGGGCTTCACACGACCAGGACCACCTTGTAACAACTGAAGAAGCTCGGAACCGTTGCCGTAGAACTGCTGCTTGTCATCCTTCACAGGTGTAACCGATCTTCTTGGCTGCTCCACGGCGCGTTTAGAGTCCGAGCTCTCTGCAGCACTCGGTCCAAAAACCGGGGAACCAAAGTGAAGGCCAGGACCAGGACGAACTTTAAGCTCCCCAGACGAATGTGGCGGATGAACCATATTCTCGGCAGCCTGGAAAGTCGGAGCATTTGGAAAAGGATACGGCACTGGCGGGTGGAACGGTCTCTCGACTGGAAGCGGAGCAAACGAGCGAAGAAATCCGTGGTCCGACGGAGTCAAGAACGGATCCGAAGGAAAAAGTGGGTCTTGGTGCTGCTGGAAGTGAGGTGACCACCCACCAAATCTTATTGCCGGGACGTAGAGTGGTCGTGGAGGAGGAACTTCTCCTCCTCCCCCTCCTCCAGATCCTCCAGGAGGAGCGAAGCTGTGGCTGGGACCGTGAGCTGCGACTGCTGGATCCTGTAGCTGCCAGGAATCGCTGCTACTGCTTCTCAGCTGCTCGTCGCCCCCACCGCTCTTGAGAAAATGGAGTAGCAAATCGCCGCTGGGAGAAGAAACGTCCAGGCCCAGTTCATCCTCGGACTGCGTAGTGGCAACCAAGGCGGACAAGTTTGGAGGACGAACTTGTGGCGGATTCCACGTCATGGCTGACTTCCACGCTCCCAGTCAGAGAATCACCGCCCGCTACATGACTGATCGCCCCAGAAATCCCGAAACTCTCGAATGCGCCCCTATTTTCTAGCTGCCCCGGCCGCGGAGATGAGAGAAATCCACACGATCGCCTGCAAAGCCTCAGCGTTCAGCTCAATTTCCGAGAGATCCTATGCTTGCATGAATCTAGATCGGCTACTCCGGCTCTAGGCCAGCGAAATCGCGGCGCGGCGCCGGCGCTGGCGCTGCTGCTGCTTCTCGAGGCGATTCTAGTATGCATACCTGGCTCATCGCCGGCGCTGCCGGAATAAAACGTGCTTGCGACGCTATTGCCTGCTCCTCCCCTGTCCGCCATAGCCGCGAAGAAACCTAGAAATGCTTGTACCCTAGCCAAAGCTCCTATATCCATAGCCTATGACACATTCATTCATTGAACTATCCGAAGAATATGCCACGCTATGCTATGATATTCCCATTTCTATGTATATTAACAAAACTTTGGTAAGTTAAACAATGCGCAGTGTTCTTTCTTCTCATCTAAATAGCATCTTGAGTTCCTCGATTCGAGCGCTTCGTACCTCTTCGTCTGTAAGAGCTCCGGCGATCAATCGCTGCTTCCTCGCTTGGACCTGTTGCATTCTCTCCTCCACCGAGTCCTGTGAAACTCTCTCAGAATTTCAAGCGTTTCAGGAGGAAATGGAAACTTACTTTGACGATGAATCGCTTAATCGATACGTTTTGAGTCTGGCCGATACGGTGGATTCTCATTATGGCTTGTTCTTCCACGGCAGGATTCCACCAAGGATCCTGGAAGGAGTGTCAATTCTGACGATGGCAAAACGAAACTATAGCGAACCATGAGAAAAGCGTTAGATGCGGCCGTCAGGTTGAGTCCCACGCCTCCTGCCTTGAGAGAAATGAGCATGACCTGTCGAGAGTAGAGTCAGTCCCTGTGTCGAGAGGCGAGCAATGAAAAGCTTACGGCCACGTCTGGAATATTGCTGAAGTCTTTCAGCACTTGTTCTCGCTTATGCTGCGACAATGTTCCGTCCAAGCGGACAAAACGGACGTTCTTCCTGGAAGTGCATTGTTAGAAACACGAACAAAGCGAAAGCTCCAAAGGAAAGACGACCACGGGCTCGTACCGTTTCAATGGTATCTCTAGCAAGTCGAGAAACGCTGTCCACTGACTAAAAACAACGCTTTTCGACTCACGCAACGTTTCCAGCTGCTGCAGAAGGGCCTCGACTTTGGATGACTCCTTCCACTGTTCCTCGACATTTACTCGGAACCGGTTACTCGTAGGTACAGTTATAAGTTCCTGTTTAGTACAAGAACGCCTGCATGACAGCCATGGATAAAGAAGGAGAGCTTGCGGAAAGAAAGAAAAAACTTACCTGCATATCGGACAGGGACCTCCGGCGCTAGTACGCCAGCTATTAAATAGGCACTCACGGCACATTTGGTGAGCACATGGTGTAAGAACTGCGTCCTCTGGCATTTCCAAGCAAATTGGACATTCAGCAGTGTCCCCTTTACGAATATCATCAACCACTTCTTTCACATAAGCCGTTGAAGGGACCAGGGAGGAATTCTTGTCCAAGAAACGTCTAGCCAACTTTCCAAGGTCCGCGTAGTCTTCAGTGTCGCCACGGCTGCGCAACGAAGAAAACTTCAGAAAGTGTGTACAGAAGACGACGCATTGTCTACCTCAGAACAAGAAAAGGATGATCACAAGCTTGCCGTAATCGAAGTAGGAGTTCGAGTATTGACGCATAGTTATGAAGAACTTTACCTTCTTGAACAAACTGATCGAATTTTACCTGATCACATAAAGAAAAAGGTGTTCAGCAATGAAAGAAAAATAGATGAGTTTTTCTTCCTGCCTTGGATCTGTGGTAAAGGGCATCATAAAAATCACGCTCAGACTCGGATAGGTTGCATTCAATAACTTCACATTGAGCTGGTGGGAGCACCAGAATTGGCCTGTGAATTCAACTCATGAGTGAATACAAGACAATGCACGGTGGGAAAACAAAATGTCTACCTTCCTTCTTTGTCAGTTGAATCTTTTGTTCTCCGAAGCATTAAAGGCTTCAAAATAGCCTGCAGAAGCTTCAATCCGCGCTCATCCCCCTCTTCGTAAGGCTTCTGAATTAGCTTATACCACCTGAAAAGATTACATGTTTCAGAAACATTATAGAAACTGTGAAGGGCTGATACCATCCCCAGTTGCACCACGGTTCAACCCGGAGAAAATGGAAAAGACTGTACATATCCTCGAGCTTGTTCTGCATTAGAAAAAAAACTGCTAGTTAGCTAAAACATATAGAAAAGGTTCTTACTTGCACAGGAGTTCCAGTCAGGCACAATCTGCGGTCTGCCACAAGCTTGAAAACAGCCTGAGCAACGCGAGACTTATTTGCCTTGATAGAATGAGCCTCGTCTAATACAACTCTAAACCAATTCACGTTATGGATTGGTCCGTCGTCTCCGCTCTACAAAACACCGTGAGTGAGAAATTCTGCTTTGAATTACTAACTTACATTGTTGCATTCCGACTGAACAACGCCATAGGTGGTCAGGACAACATCGTGCTTAGAGAGAGTTTTGGAATCTCTTGATCTATCAGGTCCATAATAAGCATAAACAGAGAAAGTGCCAGAAGATACGTGCGTTTCAAGCTCTGACTGCAAGCACAGGTTTAAAAAATTCAAATACACATCAATGAAAAAACACATACCCGCCATTGACTAAGCAAAGTCATGGGACAGATTATAAGAGTGCCACCCTCCTTTGGATCACTTGAACTTTTAAAAGACTTCGTTTTTGCCACTGTTGGCTGCACCTGAGAGGTATTACATCCTTTGCGGCGATTGCAGAGCAAAAGAGATATTGTCATGACCGTTTTACCAAGCCCCATAGCATCAGCGAGAATCTGATTTGATAGAAACATAAGATACCGATTAGCAGATTTGACGAGCAAAATACCCCTCCTCTTGAAGCCTGGAGTGCGCTAGGAAAGTCCAGTGTTGCCTCGCCAGAAAAAGAATTCACGTAAAAAGAAGAGGCTCGCCTGCAAAAGGGATGACTAACCAGCATGACACGAAGTTGAATCATACCTATCCGCAATACGGTATTCAGACCAGCAAGGATGAAGAGCTTTAGCAGCGTCTTCCTGAGTGACACCATCTTCCAGTTGAGACATCCAAAACAAAGCTTGCTTTTGGTAAGGCCTCAGCTTGCATTCTAGACCTTCAGGTTCCTCCATTTCCTGGTGTGTCGAATGTTGAGTCATGGAAAATATGACAATAAACATATGCGTACCTCCAGTTCGCGACTGTCACTGGTGCCAACCACATGATCGACCTCCGAATCGGGCATATCTTCAGTATCCTTCTGCTCGACTTTTGAACGCTTTGAAGGTGGCCCTTCCTGTTTAAAAAAAAAAGTCGCAGATTGTCTCACACATGATCAGGCTCTTTCATAAAACTACCTCTGGACGTCGACAAGTGTAGACATTTAAATCTTCTGGCGTAAACTGGGCCTGGACAGCAAACTATGTTATAAACAAAGGCCAAAACAACACGATGTTGTACCTTTCTAAGAGGAGTCATCTTTAAAAGCTCCATCAACGACGGAAGAGGGCGAAAAGTTGTCTCTTCAATCGATACTGTTCTCTTGTATTTCACAAATAACGACTTATTGATGTAAACTCTGCAAACACATCATGTAGGGATACACAAACTTCTCCAGGAAATTAAGAACATTTTACCTCAAATCGAGAACTATGCTGCTCATAAGAGAGAGTGCCTCTGGTGCCATTTTGCACCTCCCCAGTATGTTTACTTTATTCGAGCGAACCAAAGGTATTAGACACTTGGCCCAGTCAGCTGGAAGCCGTCCTATCTGTGTGCAAATAGTTAGAATCAAAATAAATAACGAGTGAAACGTACCTCTCCTGAAGTTTTTGTTGAGAACCTTACAATGTCGGAGCTTGCTTTCTGCCGAGCCCAAGGCTTCTTGTGTTCGAAGGACTTCTTCTTACTTTCAGCTGCAGGCTTGGGAAAGTTGAAGGACACGAAATCACCAACACCAATTCGGGATCCTCTGGAAGTCGAGTAACCGGCAACTTCTGTCTCTTCGAGGAGCCACCACCTCTCTGCATCTAAAACAACCGAGTGCTTTTCTGTACAACTGGCTAATGGAGAGGTTAATGGAGCAACCTTAGCTCCAGACGAATAGGCAGCTTTACCATCTTCTGGAGTTTCGACTTTCACAGAACCCGGTTCCATCTTCAGCGAGACATTTGGAGCTTCGACTTTAGCAGAATCCAAACCAGTCTCCATCTTCACTGAGCCATTTGGAGCTTCGACTTTCGCAGAATCGAAACCAGTCTCCATCTTCACCGAGCCATCTACATCACAACGAGCTTCGACCTTCACCGAAAAATCCGAAGCTTCAGCTCTCACGGAATGACAACCAGCGTCCACTGTATCTAGCTTCATCGCGAGCTTTCGGGAATCCAAGCTACAATCTCCGATCGAAAGCCCTGCTAAGGCGCTAGAAACAGACTCGCCATCTCCCCTGGCAGCCTCACCGGAGCTCTCGACCGCCTTGGCATCTGTTTCCTTCACCTCGGCATTCTTTGCTCCTTCAGTCTTTCTCTTTTTGGTCCCTCCTCCAACCTTACCATCGTTGGCTTCACTATCTACTTCGTTGGCTCCATTTTCTACTCCCGAATCATCTAAGTTTCCTGTTCCGCTATCAGTGCTCACCTCGGTACTCATTGTTGTCCTACCAGCCTCAGCTTTTGCGGGAGTTCTTGGCGATCCACTGGAAGGTTTTGCCGCAGAGTTCGTTGTCACGGTAGAGCTCCCTGTTATCGACGATTTCCCAACGCTGGGGCTCCTCGCCTTGGCACTGTTTGTCGAAGAAACCGCACCCTGCTTCTTCCTATTTCTAAAACCCGGAGTCTCAAGCACAATGTGCGCGGCCATTTGGAGATCGTTCCTCGACAAGTGTAGCGCGTGAACGAGATCCATGTCGCACACATCGCTGCCAAGGACATCCCGGAGAGCGCGAAAACTTTCGTTGTCAATGCGACTTCCTGGCGGAGAAGGCCCAGAAATTCCCATTACCTTGTCCAGCTCCAAGAACTCCAAGAATGCCGATCAAGGCTACCCCAGCGCCGTCTCCCGGGCGACCGCAGCGATCGCGCGGGCAATAGATAACCTACAAATCCCCTCCAAGAACCCTAAAATGGAGTAAAGACCACATAGCGCGGGAAATTCCTCGCGGGAAAAAATCTATTCAATGGACGCTAGACAAGAGCCTAGAACATAGGCCGCGCCATTCGCGGGCTCCAGGGACACCGCCTTGTTCCCCGCTCGAGCCCCAATCGATCCACTGCGGTGCGCCACGGACGATCCCAGCAACGACCTCCACGCCACGACATCGATAGGATTTGCGAGCAGCATTTCCTCGGCTAGCTTCAATCCTGCCCCACTCTTCCCGAGCGCATCGATCACGGCACTGTAGTGCTCCACTCGAGCCGCCAGGGCGTAATCGCTGCCCATCGAGCGCAGCCACTGGCAGGTCCTCTCGACGCTTCCGGATCTCGCGCACACACTGAGGATGCTCGTGAAAGATCCCTCATCCACGATGAATCCCTCGGCACTCATCGCCCAGAGGAGCTCCACAGACTCCCCGAATCGCCCATTCGAGGCGAATCCATCAAGCATCGCGTTCCAGGACACGCTGTTCCTCTCGGGCATCCGATCGAAGAGCCCCTTCGCTCGCGAGATCTCGCCATTCTTTGCGAATCCATCCGCGAGGCTCGTCCAGGAGATCACGTCCGGGGCGGGGATGGAATCAAACACATCCTTCGCGACACCCAGTTGCCCATCCCGGGCAAGCGTGGTAACAATCGCGTTCCAAGACGCGACTGGCGGATCGCGGATGGAATGAAAGATCTGCAAGGCGTCGGTGACAAGAGATTTCTCCGCAAACGCGCCCAGCATCGCGGTGCACGACACAGCGTCCAGCTCCGGCATACCATCAAAGATCACTTTAGCGTGCTCGAGTAGCCCCTTATTCCCGTACGCCTGGATCATCACCGTACAGGAAACGATACTCCTCTCGGGCATATTCTCAAACACCCGCGTCGCATCTTCCAGATGCCCGTTATAGGCATATGCGTGTAAAAGCCCGGCCCACGACACAAGGTTCCTGTACGGCATTTGGTCAAATAGGTGCTTTGCTTGCGAGAGATTGTCTTCCCTTACAAATAATATGATCATTGTGTTTCTTGCAAACACGTCTTGCTGAGGCATCTCTTTAAAGCAGAGTTTTGCTTCTTCAAAATGACCTCCACGGGCAAGTGCTGCAAGAAGAGTGTTCCACGAGATTGCATCCCGGTCTGGCATTTCCGCAAAGATGCTCTTCGCAAGCTCAATCTTTCCGATATCCACAAACCCCTTGATAATGATGTTCCACGAGAAGAGATCTCTCTCAGTCATCAAATCAAACACGTTCTTGGCCTGATCCATATACCCGCTTTGGGCATACGCTGAGAGCATCGTATTCCACGAGACCGTATCCCTCTTGGGCATCGTCTCAAACACCGCTTTCGCCGCGTGAATATCTTGATTGGCCACATACGCTCCCAGCAAGATGTTCCACGAGAATTGATTGGGTTTTTCCAAGCCATCGAAGATCCCGGAAGCGCCTCGCAGGTTCCCACAATCTCCATACTTTTGGATGATGAGATTGGCGAGGTAGCGATCGCGGCAGTGCGCACTGCGACTCAGTCTGGCTCTTATCTCGTCAAGATCGCTGGAGTTTCGGCAAGAACGTATGAATCCCGCAAAGGCCTGGATGGAAGAGCAGGAGTCCATAAACTGGAAAGTTCCATAGAAACCAGAAACAACAAAACCACAAACCAAGAAGAACCAGTGGTACTATCTGGACATAGAAAAGAAAGGATTGTTCCTTTGTTCCAGAGAGTTTGAATGTAAGTTGGTCATGGCCGGTTTTTTATAAGATCTTGTTTTGACTTGGAGAGGAATCTTAGAGCAAAGAATTCTTGCATTCTCCACGGGCTATGGCGGAAGGGGCAACGCACCGCATGATCGACACAAATGGCATCAAGATGCATATAGCAGAGATGGGATCAGGTAAGGCAATCACAAAAACGCAGAGAATGAAGGAAAAAAAGATGATTTTGCGACGATGATCGACCAGGAGGGCCGACTGTGGTGCTGCTCCATGGCTTCCCCGAGACGTGGTATACATGGAGGTTCCAACTCAAGGCGCTGGCGGACGCTGGTTTCCACGCCGTTGCTCCAGACTTGCGAGGCTTTGGTCTCACCGAGTGTCCCAGGGATTCATACGGCAACTTCAAGCTCACGCCTCTGGATCTCGTGGGAGATATCGTGGGTCTCATCTATGCTCTCGGAGGAGACCCGGTACGTGATGATTTTCTAGCATCTTAGTTTTCCAAATCCTCCCTCGATCGCAGGTGTTCGTCGTGGGTCATGACATTGGAACATCCACAGGATGGAACTTGTGTCGCATGAGGCCGGATCTCGTGAGAGCTTATGCTTCGCTTGGAGGTCCTTTCGTGCGAGCCGGAGGAGCTCCAACTTTTGGACTTCCCCAGGAAGGAGGATTCTACGTGAATCGCTTTGGTGTACGTCTGTGAATCACTTTTGTTCACAGCTCTAGAAAATTCTTTCCAGGTACCTGGGAGAGCCGAGAAAGACTTCGCTCGATTTGACACGGCCACCGTGCTCAAGAACATCTACACGCTCTTTTGCCGGTCCGAGCTCCAGATCGCCGGGCCCGACGAGGAGATAATGGACTTGGTCACCACCTCGGACCCCATCCCGAGCTGGCTCACCGAAGAGTTCATCAAAGTCCAGTCCGAGCTCTACGACAAGTCCGGCTTCGAAGGCCCGCTGCGCTTCACGTATCGCGACCGCATGAGGTTTGCAACTAGGAAATCTATCCCTTTGCTGGATCGAGTTTGTTGGATTTTTGGCGCAGGAAGTTTGAGCTCATGGCTCCCTGGATCAACATACCAGTGACGAGCCGCTGCCTCTACATCACCGGCAAAGATGACTATGTGCGCAAGTTTCCGGGGCTGGACGAGTACGTGACCGGTGGTGGAATGAAGCGAGACGTCCCCAACCTCGTCGACGTTGCTATTGTTCCCGGTGGCCATTTTGTGGAGGAAGACTCACCTAAGGAAGTGAACTCGTTGCTCATACGCTTCTTCAAAGAGTAAAGCATTCCCATTGCCTGGAAAATGAGAAATACTTATTTTTAAATGAAAAATTCAATAAAAATGTATTATATATATTACTCTTCAGTTTCACTGTCTAGATCTTCTAGCCAAGCCAAGACACGTTCTTTGAGGCACCCAAGCCGCGTTGACCAACTTCTTTAATGAAGCCAACTTGGTAGTCAGGTACGTGAAAGTCACATCCAATCATCCAACTCTTCATACCCTCCACCAAGTTCTTGCAGCCGTGGAGACAGAAACATATGTTCCTAGGAAGCGTGCCCTGCGTTTTGTTCGGCTTGCGGGGTTTGAAACTCCACTGACTTCTTAGCATCAAGATAGATTGGACAACATCTCTGTGTTTGAATCCTTGTTTCTGCATACGAGCTTCCATTCTTACGGCATTCTCGATAGTCTTCAGAAAAACGAAACTTAGAACTAAACCACGAAAAGAGAGAGAGAGACCTCTCATAACTCAGATCTCCAACAAGGAGATCTTTATTTACCCCTCGTTCTGCCGGCTCTACAATGAGAGCATGCTGCTCAGGTCAGTAGCAGCGTGGTATCGTACGAGGCTGAGTCGCAATGTATATCAACTCCTCTTTTATTACTTCCGGCGATCATGCTTTACTCTTTGAAGAAGCGTATGAGCAAGGAGTTCACTTCCTCGGGCGAGTCTTCCTCCACGAAATGGCCGCCAGGAAGAACAGCAACGTCAACGAGGTTGGGCACGTCTCGCTTCATTCCACCGCCGGTCACGTACTCGTCCAGTCCAGGGAATTTGCGCACGTAGTCATCTTTGCCGGTGATGTAGAGGCAGCGGCTCGTTACTGGCATGTTGATCCAGGGAGCCATGAGCTCAAACGCCCTGCACGAAAAATTCGATCAAACTCCATCCAGCAAAGGTATCCTGAAAAACCTCATGCGATCGCAATATGTGAAGCACAGCGGGCACTCGAAGCCGGACTTCTCGTAGAGCTCGGACTGGACTTTGATGAACTCCTCGGTGAGCCAGCTCGGGATGGGGTCCGAGGTGGTGACCAAGTCCATTATCTCCTCGTCTGGCCCGGCGAACCGGCAAAAGAGCATGTAGATGTTCTTGAGCACGGTGGCGGCGTCGAATCGAGCGAAGTCTTTCTCAGCTCGCCCAGGTACCTGGAAAGAATCTGTGAGCTCAAAGTTGGATGGAGCAGTGATTCACGGACTTACACCAAAGCGATTCCCGTAGAATCCTTCTTCCGTGGGACGTTTAAATCCTCCGAAGGGAATTCCAAGCGAAGCATAAGCTCTCACGAGATCCGGCCTCATGCGACACAAGTTCCATCCTGTGGATGTTCCAACGTCATGACCCACGACGAATACCTGCGATCGAGAGAGGATTTAGAAAACTAGGAGGCTAGAAGATCATCACGTACCGGGTCTCCTCCGAGCGCATAGACGAGACCCACGATATCTCCCACGAGATCCAGAGGCGTCAGCTTGAAGTTGCCGTATGAATCCCTGGGACACTTGGTGAGACCAAAGCCTCGCAAGTCTGGAGCAACGGCGTGGAAACCAGCGTCCGCCAGCCCCTTGAGTTGGAACCTCCATGTATACCACGTCTCTGGGAAGCCATGGAGCAGCACCCCTGGTCTATCATCGTCGCAAAATCATCTTTTTTTCCTTCACTCTTCTGCGTTTTTATGATTGCCTTACCTGATCCCATCTCTGCTATATGCATCTTGATGCCATTTGTGTCGATCAAGCGATGCGTTGCCTCTTCCGCCATAGCCTGTGAAGAATTGCAAGAACTCTTTGCTCTAGTTTTATAACCCAACACCTGTGATTTATCACCAAATCTTCTTTCACATATGTATATCATCGTCAGTAGCAAGCCTCGTAACCTTGGTCTATTCTTAATTCCGCGTCAAAACTGGCTCTAATCTCGTCAATATCGTTGGAGTTTCTGCAAGAACGTATGAATCCCGCAACGGAGACCATAAACTGGAAAGTTCTATAGAAACGAAGAAAATTTGATAGCACAGAAAACACAAAACCAAGGGACGAATTTGCGCGCTACTAACTAGGTACAAGGTTATTGGCCGTAGCTAAGATCGAGGAGGCAAAATTATTTCGTAACAAAAAGAGGGACCTTAAGAAGGAAAAAAAAAATCCAAAGCCAGCGAGGAGAGAGGAATAAAGAAAAAAACGGAAAGAACAAATGAAATGAAGGCGAGAACACTTATCATCGATAGAGGGGCGGTAGTAGTAGATCAACACTCACAGCCAGACGATCTTGGCAGTCTATTGTTGTTTGTAATGTCGATCGTGTCCGGAAGATAGCTGCGAGAATTACATCGAAACTTAGCGCTTGAAAGATCACAAACAAGCAAACTTACAAGTCTTCCTCCGGTTCGCTCCTCAAGGCATTTTTGGCGATGCATTGAAAGGCAGCCTCTACGTTGTAGTCTTCCTTGGCAGACGTCTCAAAGTATGGGATGTTTCCCTTGGAAGCACACCAGGCCTTGGCTTTCTTCTCGGAAACCTGGAGACACAAGCGTAAGAGAGAGTGAGAGAGAAGCGAGAGAGATTGAGCGCTAGCACTCACCACTCTACTGTTCCCTCCATCTACGTCGACCTTGTTGCCGAGAACAATGAAAGGGAAGTTCTCTGGATCGGAGGGACTTGCCTGGAGACTGGTTTAGAGACTGATAAAGAGCTTTCAAGCATCTCATTTTACCTGGATGAGGAACTCTTCTCGCCAGTTGTCCAAGTTGTCGAACGATTTCATCACATTCACGTCGTATACCAACACGCAGCAATCAGCACCTCGATAGAATGCCACACCGAGGCTTTGGAATCGCTCTTGACCGGCTGTGTCCCATATCTGGAAAACCAAAATCCCAATTCGTAAGAAGAAAGAAATTTTTTTGGAGCAAAGATCACGACCCACCTGCATCGTCACTAGCCTGTCCTCCACTTGAACCTCCTTGGTGAGAAAATCGGCTCCAATAGTAGCCTTGTACTGGTTGCTAAACTTCTTATTCACATATCTAAGAGTAGCGTCAAGGCATCAAACAAGAGAGAAACAAAGAGATTTCGCAGCTCGATCACAGCGAGAAAACAACCAATAGGATACTGATTCATTAGCGATGTCTTCCCGACTCTGCGCAAGAATCACACAGATTGAGCTCGATTACTCACTCATCCCTTAGAAATCGATTATAGACCCATACCCGCTGTCGCCGAGAATGATCGCCTTGAGGAGAGTTCGCTTCCTGGACGCCATGCTGAGCTCGCGCTAGAAATCCCGGCACAGATCAGGCGTTGCGCATCACCAGTGGAACTCTCTCCACAAAGAATCCAGCAAACCCTACGACAGCGATGAACCCCGTGTTGCCCTAATATTAAGGGTAGTGTATCTTTTCTTTTTTGCCTGTGACGTGTCGACAGACGTGGCAATTCCTCTTTTTCTCTCACCCGCGCGAATCTCCGCCGTTGTTTTTTCAACGGCTGCAGATTGCTCACTCACTGAAGCTTTTGACGCTTTTTGTTTTTGTTGTGGCCTTCTTGTTTCTCCGGAAAGCTCGACAGCTTCTTTCTTATCTCGCTGAGCTTCGCTCCAGCATCTTTGAAAAGAGCATTTGTGCTCAGTGCTAGCAAGTCCTGGATGATCAAAGAAAAAAGAAGGTCAAAATCTCGTTCCTCGTCAAGAGTTATCTGGTACCTGTACGTAGCTCATTGCGGCAATGTTGCGTCCAAGGACGTTTTTAAAGCTCTGAAAATCCACAGGCCAGAAAACATGAGGGAAAGATAGGAAGAAAAGTTTACCCGCACGCTGCCGTGAATTTCTTGAACACTGGTTACAATTGCACGGGCTGATGGTGTTGCAATGAGTTGTTCATGGTGGATGCGTAGTAGCATCGTCGCTACTCTTCCTACAATTTCCACCTTTCAACATAAAAAACACACGAGTCAGTGAAAGCAAGATCCAAACACGAAAGAAGCTTGTACCTGACTACCATCGGGTATCCACTGCTTGACGTATTCCAGCAGCTTCAACGCATCCGAAAATGGGAGCATCTATAGAAGAAAAGTTAAGAACTTGTAGCAAAAACAAACGAGAGTTCATACCAGGAAGGCTTGCTCGAGATCACTAGGCCGGACCGAAGTAACAGCACGAAGGACGTAGGCAGCGGGTGAGAGACCGAGCATCATAACGTTGGGTTGGAACTTCGTTTTTTCTCCAGCCTCCTGCAAATACATGCATGAAATGGTGATCATCTTTTTGGAGTTACACCAACCTTGTGCTCCAAAATCTTTTTCCTTTCTTCCTCGGCCAAGTCCAAGGCGTCGATGATAGAGTCCGCAGCAGACACGGTATCCTGCGTCTTTCGTCCGGCCAAACCAGAAGCTCCTTCTTCCGGAGCTTCTTGCCTAGGCGCTCTCGAATCGTCTAGCTCGGAATCAAACCGTGCCTCCAGTTGCTTTTCTCTTTCTTCCTGTGAAGTACTCACTTAGCAAGCCACCACCAGATTTAAAACGCTACCTCTATGAAGAAAGGTTCTTCTGTCCGCTCCCACCGGCGTATCGATCTGTCATGCGATCCGGTGATAATAAAATCTCCGTAGAAACTCACTGCAAGGCACCAGATCTCGGCGTGGTGTCCCTCCAGTCTTAACAGGTGCTGGAACTTGTCCGCATCCCAGTAGTTGACAACTCGGTCTTTACCAACGCTGAAAATGTAATGGGTGTTTGGAACAAACTTCAGTGCCATAACACTGTCGTGATGAGCGAAGAGAGACTTGTGGCAGTCTCCAAAGTCCATTCCCCAGATCTTCATATTCTTATCCGCAGAACCGGAGGCAAGTAGAGCTCCATCGCTCGAAATATCGATGCAAAGGACGGGAAGCTTGTGCCCGTAGAGCGAGAGATAAAACTTCAAGCTATCTGTAAAAAAGATCTGCTTTGCAACATGAATCGTCAGCGTCACAGCCAAAACAAAGTCACTCACTTTCACAGTGGAGTCGAGAAGCGCAACAGCCAGATACTTTCCATCCGGACTTACACGAACAGCAAGAACATCCTCGGCCATTCTTAGAGTACGCACATTCTCAATAGTAAGCTGCTTGAATGCCTGGAACTTGTCCACGTCAAAATCCACACACGAAGATTAAATACAAGAGTTACCTTGTCGTCCGCTTGAACAAGATCAAACCTCCAAAACTTCACGTCATTATCTGCGCTCCCGGTGACAAAGCCTTCACCATTTGGTAGAGCTGACACGGACCACACCGCTCCAGAGTGGGCTTCCACAGCTCTCACTCTCTCCCCTGATCGAACGTCGAAAATCTCCAAAGCTCCCGTCTTGGTCCCAACGATGGCGTGATGGTTGCCAGGACCAAACAAGCCACACAGACCGTAGCCAGCCTCCATTGTCCGCAAGCAAGAACCTGTCGTTGGATTCCAGATCTTCACTGCATTGTGGCTGGTCGTCAGGAGCAGCGTGCCATCCATTGTGAGCACCGCCGAGCGGACGTCCGACCTGTGACCAGGGAGATCGATGGAGTGGACTTTGGCCGACGATTCTGCTTGCACTTCGTGGACTTCCAAGCTGTTGTTGTGCAGTGAAACCGCCAGCGTGCACATCACTTCTTTCCTCGAGTGTAGAGGAGAGATAGCAAACGATCTCGCCTTGTGTTTCAGTCGAACGATTTGTAGAAGCCGGATATAGTCCGATGCCTGGAACTCGTTACCATCTTCCGGCTCTGTCACTGCTACGTTTTCCGGTTTCTCAGTCTTGTCAGCCTTCTCTCTCTTTCTCCGTTTCCTCCTCTTGGCCTTCTTTAACGCTTCCTTGTCGTCATGCAAGGAGTAAACCTCCAAAGACTTCCCGGCACACTGGCAACCGAGAAGCGTTCCCAGCTCGTTGAATCTCAAAGTGACTACTCGATCGTGGCTTTGTTTCTTCACGTCTCCCAGAAGCTGGAGCACCTCCCACTTTCCCGGATCGCTGGAAGGCTCGCTTGATACTTGGAAGAGCCTGAGTTCCATGTCCGCACCACCAGTGACGACGTAGCGCTCCAGAGGATCCACATCGAGTGACCAGACTTCACTGCGGTGGCTCACGATCGTCTGGACGCAAGCTTGCGTTTGTATGTCCCACACACGAACGAAAGTATCCTTGGACGAGGTGAGAAGCTTGTTCCCATTCTCAATGAAAACAACATCAGTCACCTGGAAGAAAATCACGTCTAAGGAACAGAAAGAATGAATGAATGAAACTACGAGTGACTTACCTGGTCTCTGTGACCTTGAAGACGAAACAACCCAGTCTCGCCTACCGTATCCCACACAATAACGTCAGTGTCTTTGCTTCCAGTGGCAAGCAAGGAGCCATTTTTATTGTATCTCAAGGCAGTCACTGCTCCTCGGTGGCTGTTCATGGTTGATTCACACGCTCCCTTGACGATGTCCCAGATTCTAAGTGACCCATCGGAGTAGCCACTCGCAACCTCGAGTAGACGAAAAAAATCATCAAGCGAAGAGAAATGGAAGACAAGAATGTGGGAGCTTACCAGTGAGGAAGAGGCAGGCGTACATGCGATAGCAGTGACGGCGGGCCTGGAGCCTGATTCGGGGAGAGAGGGCGCGAGAGAATGCACGCAGAGTCCCTGCTTGACGTTCCAGACGAGGAGCTTGTCGAGAGCGCCGGCGATGAGGAGCTTCCCTGTGCTATCGTAGCACAGATTCGATTCCGCCGACACAACCACACCGAAAGAATTGCATTCCTCGTAGCGGAGGTAGGACTTCACCATGACTAAAAAAACCCTAAACCCTAACCTACTTTCTTAAGTTAAGAAATTGTAAAATATTTTAAATTTTTAAACATTACTACTTAAAAAAATTATATTGCAACTAAAATTTAAAATCAGGTTGGATTCACATTAAATTTAATAATTCATTAATAAAAATGATAATATCAAGACTTATGAATATAGTTACCATGTATATTATTTGTTATATGTCATCCATATAAACACTTATTATTTTTATGACATTTGTGAAGTCAAAATATTTGTATTATTTTTCTTAATTATATATTTTTTAATATAATTTTTCATTATATTTATATATATAGTTAAAATTAATTATATGAATGGCAATTCAAGTTACTCCAAAAGAGCTAATAATTTTTTAACATTCATAATATAGTGTGAGTTCTGCTTTTTTTAGTTTTTATATACAAAATTTTATTTATTTTTAAATCAGTATGCTAAAAGTGAATTATGAAAAAATTAAATTTCCGGGAGAAAAAGAATAAATAAAATTCTAAAATTCAAACTTATGGATATTTAATTTAAAAGATATAATTTTAGTTAGAAACCACTGTACAGAAAATTATGTTTAGAATAAATAATTATAAGTAAGAAAAGTAAAATGAATTTTTTTTGACATTTTAAAATAGTGATAAAAATTATAGGTATAATAACCTTTATTGGAATCAATAAATGAAAACAACAAAAAACATACATATTTTAAAATCTATAAATGACTACCACAAATAATTAAAATTTGACACCAAAACCCAGCTAACTTCACCGAAGTTTGCTGTTCCACAAAAGAAAACATCAACTACCTTCACCAATCACTTACAGAACACGCAACCATGCCTCCTCCAGCAAATGCCATGACCAACATTAGCAAAACTTTCACCCCTTCAACAAAATTCCAAGTAGAAGATTTGGGCCATTCAACCCCAACGGATACATTAATTTCAATACCACATCTAGGCCATTCATCCAACATCAATCCGAAAAGCTCATCTCCAACCACCTCAAAGAATCCGAACCGACCACACCACCCACATCTGACAAAGCAAATTAAGCCTCCAGCAACTTCAAATCCTAGGACCAAGAACACAGCAAACCCTAGTGAGGAACACAAGGATCACGGAGTAGGAGCAGGAGTAGTAGCCATGCCTCAGCCATAGAGTCAGGTATGCCATGGTTATGACGAGATCAGGAAGGAGTACGAGGATAAACTCTGCGACCTGAGCTACTGCACCCATAAATTGTTCGAAGCCCTCAATCAACGCATGCACCGTGAGCAAGCGAACCACTTCCCAACACCAACTGACATCTCACAGCACCTTCTCAAGCAAGACTTCATATACACCTAGGGAGCAATCAAGAAGGAGTTCTACAAGCCTTAAACCACTAGCTTGACACTCAGCTCGAGAAGATGAAGCAAATCTGTACCGACCTCTAGGACATCAGGAAGATCATCTTCAAGTAGCCATCAACCCCATCAGCAGCTCACAAATTCACCTACAAATTCAAGTACAAAGAGCTTAACACTTGCTATCGGAAGCTCGAGGATGATCATACCACCCTCCTGGCCAAGGTAGCCGAGCTCCAGGAAGATTGGGATAGATCCACCAGATAGTGTCCCCAACCATGAGCTTACACTCTTGCAGTAGAAGCATCACCTTTATCGATTTGAGCAACAATAGCAACAAGCGATGAAGACTGACTACATTCGCACCAAGGACGGTGTCTAGTTTTGTTAGGGGAGCAGAGTGTATCAACCAAAAACCCAGGCTTAGGGGACTCCAACCTTGAAGCCAAAGCTGCATCAGAGCCATAGATTTCATCATGCACAGCATATACCATTCATTAGCATATAGAACTACCAGCCTTTCAAGGGAAAAATCCGAGTTGTGGATCCCCATCTCCATTCATCATTTTCATATTAATATATAGTATTCATTCACTCATCTTCCTTTCTCAGCCCCTAGAGATCAAGCCCTTTTCCCCTTCTGTTTTCTCATTAGTAGTAGATATCCAGCGAAGAGGAGTATCCACACCTCTTCAATAATATAAATTTTTATCAAGAAATTGTGATATATATATAGAGCAAGTTAATTATATTATTTCCAAATAAGATTTACATAACCATACATTAGGGTTAAAGTTTGTGCAAATTTTAGGGTTTAAATGATTATGGCACCTTTCACAAAATTTATGCACAGTTTATATAGTTAATGATATCTTAAATTGAATATTTTATTTAAAATATTTATATTTTAATTATATTTATATTTTGTTTATAATTGTATTATGATTTCAAGGGTTTTAGACCAGTTTGTGGGTATCAATTTAACAATGATAATTTTCACCCAAATTAAATTTTCAAATTAGCTTAAGGTTGGACTAAATTAGTTTTCAACAAATCATTCTTCTTCCTTTCTTTTTTCTTTCTTTAGTAGTTTTTATTGTCTCTTTTTCTTTTAACAATGTACTTTAACAATTAAAACACTCTTTGATCTATAACTTTCCTAAATCCTTTTTCACCTCTAATCAAATCTTGATGCTTTATACAAGTTATATCATGTGTTAGAGCAATCTAATACAATTATCCATTCACAACTTCAATAAATTCTTCAACATTAACAACATTTTCCTAATTTTGAGCCAAAAATTAGTATAGCAACAAAGTTTAATGGGATGTAATCCAAGTTCTATAACTTCCTCAACCAAATCAAGTTTTTAGTTACTATACAACTTAGACAATAGTCCATTTTAACTTTTTATATGAGACTTGGCTGATATTTCACTTCAACTTTTTATTATGAGACCCTTTCCTAGTTTTCGGCTCTTTTTGAAAAGAGTGATTATGTTCTTCAAGATTTTGATTTCTTTGATCAACACTTCTCTAGTATATTTAACAATACTGATTAAAACTGAAGTACCATTAGCAGGTTATAATAATTGTGCAAAAGCTCCAAATCTGCATTTATTTATGCATTGGAATTCCAGATGGTCATCACTAATATTTCATGGAATAATATAGCTCTCAAGAAACAATTATACCTTGACCTTTGTGAGGTTGTTACAGATCTAGTGTTTTCTGCCTTTGTGAAGTTGTTAAAGATCTTATGCTTTCTCATCTAAATACAATATTTCTACTGTTTACAATTAATCATTATGTTTACTATAATAATCAATATTATTAAAACATTGTCACAAATATTTTTTGTTTGCTTAAGCAAACCTGTAAGAGGACTGAGATGGTAGTGAATATACCTCAAATATGCTTGAATATTCTAGGATATTTTACCATCTAACTCATTTAGATTAATCTTGTATTTATAATTTATAAACTTTCTTAAACCCTTTCTAGTATATTCTGTTTTATTCTACCATGTGCTATAAGATTAATCTTGTGTTTATAAATTACAAAAATGCTTATAATTATAAACTTTTCTTGATCAATTAGATTAATAAGTAGGAATAACACCACTATTAAACAAACCAAATGTTACTACATAAAACATGTAGCAAATTATTTCCTCATCCAATGGTCTTAGTCTTTGACCAACCAACACATGACCAAAATGCAATTTCAATGGAGATTAGAGCTACATGTTAACAATGTCGTTCCAATGTTAAATGATGATGCCAAATAAAAAATCATGCAAACCACTTCCATGAACAATATCCTTTTACTCTTACGCTTGTGTGGTTGATGTAATATATATGGTTTTAGAAAATAAAAATGTCCAATCTAATTTAATTTTTTTTTACTTAAAAACTCATTTCCTTTATTTATTTTAGCTCCATTCTTTCTTCATGGCTCTTCAAAACATTTTTACATCACTACTCACTTCTAGTCCATTAAATCTAACATTTCCTTTGAGTTTTAGGCAACAACCAATCTTCTCTTTTAGATTTTTTTTTTCAATTCATTAAGGGTTTTGAGATATTTAAAGTTATATGTCCTTGGTTTGAGTAATACTAGCTTGTGTGATCTCCAAACTCAAAAGCTTTACATATGGATTATTTTCTAGAGCCCTTATAAAAGCAAGTTTTTGAGATTTTATATTTAAAATGTTTAACACAAATCCATCTTTTATTCTCTACTGTTTCAGTATTTTATTAGTAGTTTTAATGTCTTCCCAAAAAAGAGCTTTCTCTTGACAATAAGCTCCTGATAAAAATATTTGAATGACTTCCTTAAAAACAAAATGCTATCTTCTTTATATAATATAAAATTTTCTAAATTTTATAGTATAACTGACAAAGACATTTTATTGATGACTTTATAGATATATTTTGTTTTCTCTTCCATTTTAAAAGTGATATTTCTCAAAACTTTAACTTTAAAACTATTAACTTATGCTTTTAAAAAGATCATCTTTATTATATTAATGTCAAGTGCCTTTATATTACATTTTATTTATATTAATATTAATGAATAATTTTAATAAAATAATAATTTTCATTATTCAACTGGAATTAGTCCATGGAGTAATAGATATAGATTGGGGAAGAAATAATACACTTACTGAGAATGATATAAATATTATTTTTGATGAATATAAAAAACTTTTATCTAAAATACCTGAATGGAAACCTTATTCAAATTTTGTTGATTCAAATTTAATAGATATTAATGGAGGAGGTGTTGTGATAAGAATACAACGTTTAGTTGGAAATCCTCCAATTTGTTCTAGTGGAGGTACAAAAGAGAAACCTATATTTGGAGGGTCATTACGAAGGTCATTATATGATATTTTAACAAAAGTAAAAAATGTTATATTTAATGCTAAGTCTGATGAATGTAAAATTATATCTAATAAGTATTCTATTCGGTATGCATTGGTGAACCAATGGAAACCTTTTAGTGTTTATACAAATATAAATATAAATTATAGTCATTATGAAAATTGTCAAATTACTCAAACCACATTAAGTGCAGGATTTTCGGATCATTTATTATTTAAAGGTCAATTTTTAACTTCATCAAATGGTAAAAATATTTTATATCTAAAATCGAATTGTAAATTAGCTTTATTCTCTGGAAAGAATGTTTTATGGGAATCTCCTAACAAAGTATACAATAATAACTATTGCTTTCTTAATCTTCAAAATGATGGTAATTTAGTGTTATATACAGAAACCAAAAAAGCATTATGGTCATCTAATAAATATTGTAATGAACCATCTAATTGTGTTGTATTTACATACTTTACTATTCAAAATGATTGTAATTTAGTAATTTACCATGCATTAGCTCAAACTAGTATTTGGTGGGCGTTAAATATACACTCATATCTAGGTTGTATTCAATAAAGTAACCATCTAATTGTTTAAATAATATATAGGGCTAATAATAAAACTGATATTTTTAGTCATTTATTAATCGTAGCTTTTAATTTGAAATCTTTGTTTTTTTTAAGAGTGCACATGACAACGTATAATTTAATAAAGGATTTTTTTAGTGATCCGTTTTAAACCTTATGTTTTCATACATTCGTTTTTAAATACTTTATATAATTGATTACTGTATATAGCTCATTTAAAATCTACTTGACATTCTATTATGTTCATTATTATTATAAAGATTGAGATCACTCTTAATGAGCCCTACTCATAAAGAAAAAGTGAAACTCTTTAGAAATTTTGCCTATAGATGAAAATAATATTACCCACTAAATGCAATCAGCAAAGGTCATGTAAACTAAGAATCTCATGCTAATAAATGGTAAGAGAGACCATAGAGGTGGAATTATTGAACACAGAAGCTATATGTTTGGTAAATCTTTGTTTTACACTTAGTAATAGCTTCACAACTTTAACATTGTCACAGCTTCAGTGTTTCTTGAGGTGCCATAGACTCTTTTAATCAGCATTGCTGCTCACCATTGCAGGCAATGATCCCGAAGCACAAAAAAATTATGGCTCTGAGGAAATGCAATTTAGGCAAGAACAAACATATAAATACCAATATTAATTATGATATAATTTCAAAATTATACAAATATATAAATACTACTCTATAATAGACTTATAAATAAATATTAATCCTATATTAGTAATACTCTTCTAATACCATGCTATAGAAAATTTGGTTTTGATGACCACAAAGCAAATCTAAATCCTTAAACACAAGTGCTAAAGACAAAAGAGTGGAACAAAGGCTTTAGGCATTAGATGAAAAGATGGAGCCACACTCCTAGTGTATAAATTGAGGAATAAAGGCATAGGAACATATAGAAACCCTATAGCAATCCCAAAACATTCTAGATTCTAACACTGAAATTAGTGTGCAAAATAAAGTTAAATAGAGTTTGGTGTAATTTCAAGATATATACTAATGGCCTAATGCATGTATATAAATACGCCACCAAGTTAGAGCAAAATAATGAGCAACATTAAATAAATCATTAGTAGCAAAACAACTGATAATTACTTTTCAATTTTCTTTCATAAGACTCAAATATTAAACTCATATGATGAAATTATAGACTGTATGACTACTTGAATATGACTGAACAGTAATATGCTGAAATTTAATGTCAAAGAAAAATGATATAGATATCTATTAATTCAAGTACTATACTATAGAAGCATACTACTAATAATAAATATTGTCAAAATAAAAATATTGTGAGGTCCAAATGTATAGCTACAATGTTATATACTAATATTAGCATAGTGGGATTTTGATAGTTATCAGATTGATTTCAATTCACCACTCACTCTTATTTATAAATTTAATATATTTTGAGCTAATTAATATGCACATTTCTTTATTCCATTTCCATATTTAATATACTCACAATATGTTATTAAAATAATATTTATATTAATTGTATTAAACAGCAATCATTTAAATTACATTATAATTATTATATTTTTGACAATATAAAGATACCCTCTAGACATTGACTTCTTTTACATGAACTGCGTCGCTAAACACCATAAGTGAAACACACCACACTACCTCGTTTGAAACTTGCCGAATCTCATACTATACTTGCTTGGTAGGACTCTCGTCAAGGCAACGTCAAAATGCGAGGCGCCCACTGCTACGGAGTCCAAATCTTCCTGAAACGTTGGGTTACACGAAATCTTACAATCAAGACTGCTTCAGGGCATACTAACCTCCAAAGCAGCCAGTGCAGCTTCTCGACAAACAGCAGCAATATCCGCTCCAGTGTAACTTTCCGTGTAAGAAGCCAAGACATCAACTGAGACATCGGCCTTGCACGGGGTGTTCTTCATGTGAATCTCAAATATTTGCTGCCTGGCTGCTCTATCTGGAGGACCAACGTAAATAAGCCGATCAAATCTTCCTGCAGAGGACAACTAGGAAAAATGAGAAAGAAAGAAACAATTTAGTACCAGGACGAAGAAGCGCGGGATCAAGCTTATCTGGCCTGTTGGTGGCAGCAATCACTGAGACTCCATTCCGCAGAGACACTCCTGCATATAACGCTCAAAGTCAGATGAGAAAAGATGGCAGCATGCAACAGCAGCAACCGATTTACCATCCATCTCGATCAATAACTGGCTCATGACACGGTCTTCGACAGATATGCCATCAGTTCTGCCACCTCCGGAGCTTCTGGTGATAGCCAGACCGTCAATCTCGTCGAAGAAAACAACCGACGGTGCAGCAGCCTTGGCCCGGGCAAACAGTGCTCGCACAGCTTTTTCGGACTCTCCAACCCATTTGCTGAAGAGTTCGGGCCCTTTTACAGCAATAAAATTTAGTCCGGTCTCTGCTGCCACTGCACGAGCCATCATTGTCTTGCTACACCCTGGAGGCCCGTAGAGCAGAACTCCTCTTGGCGGTGTGGTTCCTATCCGCGCGAAAGAGTCTTGGTGCTTGTGAGGCCATTCCACAATTTCCTTAAGCTGTTGCTTTACGGCACTTTGTCCACCGATGTCACTCCAGCGAACTTTAGGGACCTCAAGGATGACCTGTCAACAAAGCTGAAATGAGCCTGAAAGTTGATCAAAACAAGCATATAAATACTTCTCTCATTGCACTTGGTCTGATCTTTTCGCTGGCCAGCTCGAAGTCCTCTCGTCCAACGCTGAGTGAAGATGCAGACTCAGTTTTCGAATGGACATGACGACGCAATGCACCAAGTGCTGCCTCGTTGCAAAGTGCACTTAAATCAGCACCAACAAAACCGTGTGTTGCACTGGCAAGGGCCTGCACATCTTCACTGCTTAGCGTGTGTTTGAGTCTCGAAAGATGGACTTGTAAGATTTCAAGTCGGCCTTTAGGCGTTGGTACACCTGCTTAATCCCGGTTAGAGGAGCAAATAAATTTTCATTTCAATATTACCGATTTCGATTTCGTAATCAAATCTCCCATGACGCCTCAAAGCCGGATCTATACTCTCTGGACGGTTTGTTGCGGCAATAACAAGAACACCGTTCTGGTGCACGCCATCCATGGACGTGAGAAGAGTGGCCATCAAGCGTTGTCCAAGTCCTTCACTGCCTTCTCTACGTTGTGGCGTGATTGCATCCAGTTCGTCTATAAAAACCTTTAGAAAGCTACGTTAATGGAAAACATAAGAAGCCAGTAAGGAATCTTACCACCGAAGGTGCTTCCCGGGCAGCTAAATCAAAGATGGCTTTCATTGCCGCCTCGCTTTCGCCGTGGTACTCAGTCACTATTTCAGGGCCATTGATTACGAGCATTTTTACGCCTGCTTCCTTTGCAACAGCTTGCGCGAGGGAAGTCTTTCCAGTTCCTGGAGGTCCATACAAAAGTACTCCTTTCGTTCTCTTTAAACAGTACCTGGAAAATTTTCAGTACCACTTCAAAACAATGTGAAGCAGCAACACATACCTCGCCAACGTTTCTGGCTTGAGCAAAGAATACTGCACAATTTCCTTGAGAGTTTCAATCTCCTCCGATAATCCACCAAGCGCAGAATAGGATGACGTAGTTTCCGTGAAAAGCCGAGTTCTGGTTTCCACCGTATCAGACTCTGTCAAAACGCTTTCTTCATCCAACTGAATGCTTACAGCCGTCTTGTGATTCGTAAAGTAAAGAATCCCGCCTGGGTTGTTCGCTTGCAGTGACAAGCCTTGGAGCGTCTCGCTCAAATCTAGCTCTTGAGAAGTCAAGCTCTCTGCCGCCTTTACGTGAAAGACACAGTCACTCCCACAAACCGGCACAGTAACCATATTTCCCACAAGTAGAAGCCTCCCGGATAGCCAACGAGCTGCCAGCTTTTCAATAACTTCCTTCATCTTCGATGATCCACCTGTCAAGTAACTCCTTGCTGCCGCACTGCTTATCTCTCTGATCCCGGTTGTAGACTTCGCAGGAGGCGGAGTCTTCAAAGGAGATCCCTTGAACGGAGAAACTTTGAATGGAGAACTGGGAGCCGCTAACTCCTTCTCCAACTCCGAGTGTTCTAATGCAAAGCTAAAAGATCCTTGGCATATTTGAAGAGAGAGATGCTTACACTCTTGGATAGCTGCAACGCATTCTCCTTCACCAGAGCGTGGCAAATGCAAAAGGTTGGCGATGTCACGGGAGCGGCATGTAGCTCGTAGAGAACTGATCAAGAGAACTGAGCCGAGAGCCGGGCAGCCAAGCGTTTGAGAAAGATGCGATGAAAGACGAACGTTGTTCTTGACAAGCTGGAAAGAAGAAGACCAGAGACTTAGAAGGCTATATGGTAAGAAGATCACGTAACTTTACCGTTTTGGAAGGCCATACAGCTCCAACCGCGAACACTCCTCCGACTTGCTCTTGCGACGCACAGCTCGCATTGCAAAGTAATTCCAACGAATGTGGCTCTCCAGAATCCGCCGATCGAGGCGACACCGCGACCTGTTCACATTCGCAATGAGATTGCGGGAACGCAAAAGTATTATAATTCTCACCGAGACGAGCTGCGACACCGAGATCGAAGCCTCGAGCATCGCCGCATCGGACATCCACATAATGGCGGACGATCCACTCGCAAATGCGGCCGAAACGACGCCTCTGTACGCATTGCTTGCAAGAAGATCAAACCTGTCACCGGAAACTGTAGATCGAGCCGATTCCTCCGCTTGATAGCCACCAGGCGAGGCAGGAACTGGCGGCGAAGACGCGATTGACGAGCGCTTCCTGGCCATGGCGCGCTAGAACCCTAAAATCCTAAAACCTAAAACCCTTGCCACGTCGGAAAGGGTAAAAGAAATGTGGCCATATGGCGTCATGTGATTCAGCCGGCCCAAGGCGCCGAATGACGTGGCATCGGCGCGCGCGGAACTAGGTCAAAAAAATTCCTGGAAATCGGGAAGAACACGAGATAGAAGCTGGGGGAGCGTTTCCCTGTGGAACTAGATAGGGAATGGAACGGCAGGGACAGGATCACCGGCATTTCATCGAGCTTTTACTGCTGATCTTCATCATACCCTGGACGGCCACGAATTTCTGGGAGTAGATCCTAAGGAGAGAATAGAGAAAGAGAGGAAGGTTTCTAGGATTGTAGCATGGCTTCGGATGACATTGCTGGATCGCTCTTCGCGTTTGAGTATGCCGATATCAAGCTCAATGGAAAGCCCGGATTGAAGAAGACGAAGTATTCACTCACGCCATTCGATCGAACCCTTCCTGTGCCGGTGAGTGGAAAATCTCTCAATTGATCCTTCTTCTTCTTTTCTTCTTACGATTTTCGTTCCAAATTAGTATCATAGAAGGGCTGGGCGTCACGAACCAATTCTTCTAACAGAGAAGGAACTCCCATACTGGGCAGCTACCGGGGAGTACAGGTAAAACAAAGCTTCCATACAAACTTAGAAGGAATCTCTGGAACTCTTTGTTGCTCACAGGCATCGCATTCCAAGGAAGTATCCTTGTGACTTTACGAGAAAAGGAGATGGCGAAAAGCTTCGAAGAGGGGAGCTCACGAAGCCTGTCCCGAAAGCCGAGCCACCCTGTGCGATGGCTTTCAGGAAACGGGATAATCCACCAAACAGTCTCGTGAGTTTTGCCTTGTTCTTCTTCTTGCGGGCTCAAACTTTGCCTCTTCTCGACAGTTTAGAAAACTCTACGAGCGAGGAGATTTGCCGATCCAAGTGGATCACAGCACTGCAAAGATTGCGCTCTTGTGGAAAACGGATGTAAAAAAGCTTGACTATCACCACTACCTTCCCATCTTTTTCGAAGGAATTCGGGAGAAGGAAGACCCATACCGGTTCATTGCCGTCAAGGGGTCCGAAGATCTTCTCAAGGTTCTTAGATGTTTGCTTCATGGCTTTTCTAATCTAACCACCATCGCTTGAACAGACCGGACAAGGTAAAATCCTCGCGTGTGTTCCGCAGCTCATAATTCCGATCAAAACAGCTCTCAACACCAGAGATCCGGGAGTTATCACCATAGCTCTCCAGGTATCGTCATGTTCTTGTGATCTTTCTCTTTCGCAGCTAATTCCTTGTTTGTTTGCTTGCAGTTGCTATGCAAACTCGTCGTATCCGAGGAATTGATCGGCCAGTCCCTCGTCCCATACTACCGCCAGCTCCTCCCGATCCTCAACATCTTCAAAAACAACGTGAGAAACTTGGGAGGCCACATCGACTACGGCCAGCAAAAGAAGAACTGCATGGGCGAACTGGTGGAGAAAACTCTGGAGCTCTTCGAGACGCACGGCGGCGAGGACGCCTTCATCAACATCAAGTACATGGTCCCCACATATGAATCCTGCGTCATGGGATAGAAGATCTCGTTCCCAGAGCTCTCTAAGTAGTAGTCAAGGAGTGATAAAGGTTCCTCCATTTTTGTATCTCTTCTATTCCATTTTTTTCTATGTAGAGCATTTCGTTGTTATTGTAACTTCCATTACAAATCCATAGCTAGCTATGGACTTGGACTTGTCATGGAAGTGTCCAGAAACAAGCACTCACTGGAAAACTACAAGCAGCCGAGTGAAAAGTCCACTCCTTGCTGCTGATACTATAGCTCACCAGGTTTTCTACCAGCCCTCCTCGTCAACCAGCACCGCCCACAAAGTGTCGCCACCATCGCAGTGAAACCCGTTCTTCCGTAGTCACCACTTGGCATTTGTTACTCTCGGCCACAAAGCGCCATACTCCCACAGTGTACGTCTGCGGCCGCCACTGAACAGCCAAAGTAGTCCAGGCATTCCACGTCCATAGTTGACCACCGCACTGGATCATCCCTCCCAGTCCCACAAAGCTGGGAATGTCACCTGGTCGGGCCACGGTCGTCTGGTCGCTTAAAGAGTACGACACAATCGAAATGTCAACGTTCTCGTTGTGGTAGAGCGTGTCGACAAAGTGAACTACGGGAGAACCCTTGTAATTGGCGACGGGTTCCCACGTCAACCACTGACCTGCCTCGGTCTTGTCTTCGTAGACCACAACTTCGCCGGCGCCGCTGACGCTGATGATCTGGTCTTGACGTGGCAAGGGTCCACCTATATGGAAACACTACGTCATCCCACTTACGGTCAAACCAACAGCCTGCCCGGGCAGTCGGTCGTCGCGCACACGAGCTTTCCGCCGGCTGCCCCAACCAAGCCGGAGGATCTAGGCAGAGAGCAAGATTCCGGCAGCCATGCCCAGCTCCCGTCCCGCGTGTCATACGCGATGAGCTGGCCTGGCAGGGACACGGGGGCAGTCGACGGACAGCGTGGCATTCCACGCCCTGGAACGAGAGGGGGAGCCTCTCGAGCACCAACTCCTGGATGAGCCATAGATCGTGCTCATGGTCGAGATAATCTTGGTGCTGGATCATTAACCGCTGCTGAGACTTGTAATGGCCCAAGCGGCCCAGCGACGTTGGAAGATTCAGGAGCTTTGAGCGCCACCAGAGGGCTGGCGGCAATGGATCATTGACGGGTGACAGCTCACAAGTTTGAGGGTTGGAGGGAAAACAAGCGACGGGTATATAAAAAGGTTTTTCTCGCTGCAGCGAGTGACATCCTTCTACAGGAAAGCCGAGACGAGATATGCTGGAAATCCTCGATCGGGAGCAAGAAATTCCTCACCTACACGGTCGCATTGCCTCATTGATCGATTAGGATTTTCAGAATTCTGACGAAGCAAGATCCTTCTAGTATATACAAAAGACTTTCATGTAAGCAGCCAAATCCCGAGTCTGTCCTCCGGTATGGCAAGGAGGCTAAATCCCCTGGTATGGCAAGGAGACCGAGCAGCTAAATCCCGAGTGAAACAAATAAGGAGTACTTGTTTCACTTCCTTCAGTCCTAGGCTTTCACTCTTCATCCAAGAGTCGGGAGAGATCACTCATCAGCCTGGACAGGTGTAAAATGAATTTTTCAGGCGAAGTTTCGTAGCTGAATGTCATATCATATAGATCACACGGCGACTTGGCAGCTCTCGACTCGAGCTTCTTAGATTTGTAGTAGGGAGAAGAAGTTCAAGCGTCGCTACGAGACAGCTAAGTTACTATCAAATCACAGCGCTCATTCTATGTAAACAAAGGAACACCAAGTCGATTTGTCAGAAGCTGCTTTCATCCGAGCTTGCTCAGATCGCAGGGCCAGTAGAGGGAACCGTTCATATTGGAGACCCACAGGCATGCGCCGGCTTGCTTCTCGTCCACAATCAGCTCCAGTATCGCTGGGAACATGGCAAAGAGAACGAAAAACGTGACAAACATTGAAAGGAAAGGTAAGTTACCTTGGATTATCTTTTCCATTGGTATGAATCCACCAGTCGCAGCGATCATCTCCTTGGGGACAATGTCAGTCATGGGCGTTTCAGTGAACTGAAACATCAGCAATATTTCGTGTCAAGTTCGCTCTATCCTGCCAAGAGAAAGAAAGCAAAATGGATGAACTACAAACCCCGGGACACAGGACGTTCGCTCGAATTCCTTCGCTCTGTAGTTCCACGAGCGACCTTGTGAACTGTACCAGTCCACCTTTGATCGTCCAAAAGAAGAAAAGAAAGAAACACAACTTAACAAAGGGACCTGGAGAAAAAGAAACGACCATTACCTTTGGATGCAGCGTAGATCGGATACAAAGGGACAGGAAAGAGTCCCGCAGCCGAAGCAAGATTGACAATGGCTCCTCCGGGACTGTCCTGGGACCTCATAGCTTGGATCTGTTCAAACGATCCAGAGATGGTTACATGAAGTACCTTAAGTTGTACTGGAAATCTCTTCGAGGATTGAGACTTACTGCTTGGATCGTGCATTCAATGGCTGCCATGAGGTTCACGCTCAAGACCTTGCGCCATTTCGCATCGCTCACGAAGTCGCCCTGCTCGGAGATCCCCGCACAGTTGACGCACGCGTCCAGCCTCGCGAAGGTTGCGTTGTGCTCCTTGAACGCCTTTGCGACTTGGGCTGGGATAGAACAGGAGAAATTAAACATCATACAAAAAGTCATGCCGACGATCCCTCACCTGGATCGCAGACATCGCACTCGACGAAAATGGCAGAGGGAGGGTTCATCAGCTTCTGGTGCTCCTCTCTCACCAAGCTCAGCGTTCGCAGCCCATTCTCACGTGACAGATCCACAATTGTGATGCTGGCACCGAGTCTCGCAAGGTCCAGCGCCAGCGCCCTCCCTGGAAGAGCCACAAACACGAAGTAAACGCTTCGATCGAGTCAATCTAAAATCTTTCCAGCCGAGAAATTCTTTTCTTTAACAAGAGATGTACCAATGCCGGATCCAGCGCCAGTGATGAGGACGCAGGAGCCATCTCCAACCTTCATCTCCGCTCTTCGCAATAACCTAGAGTCTTGTAATTCAAAAGTGACTCAGATTTCATTCGTAGCATATTCGTATTAAGGGTCATGTTTATCTAATCCAACGGTTAGGACGGACTGTGATCAACGGTGGTCAAGAACATATTTTCATCACCTGGATTATTTTCATCTCTGGTAGTAAGTAGAAATGAGAGCCGTACCATCTCAAAGATTATTCAGTCCTTGATTCACGGGCATCACAGCAGGCTTTTGTTACGTTTGGGTGGCAAAACCTTCCAGTGGATTGCCAAGAACTCCCGCAAAAGCTAGGACAACAAAAAATGCCGGTGAGCACTGAATCACTGATAGTGGAACAGGAAACTAGATGATTCGGGAATAGAAAATAGATCCAACGAAGTAGAAAGTGAAGCCAACGATGGCAAGGTTGGAGAAGGGACCAAAAAGAGAAAGACTGAAGGAGCAAACAATGTCAAGGTGAAGGAAACAGATGGCAAGGCAGTCGAGAGCTCCCGTGAGGCTGCAGGAAAGATGGCGAGTCTGTTTCTAGCGCCTTAGCAGGGTTTTCGATCGGAGGGAGTCAAGCTGGAGTGATCAATGAGAAAAAGAGGAGGTCACCTCCACGCGATAGATGGAGGAATAGTGGCCACGGAAATGACCACTTATAATGCTGCTGGAATGGAAGTCCAAAGAAACAGATGGTCCTTGGCTCTAGCCTCTACGAATCCATTATAAGCTCTCTAGGCTTGTCCTCTTTGCCATCCTCCGTCTTTGAGGAGCCCGCCGCCACCATGCCTTCTTGATGTCCTCTTGCGCTGGGGCAGAGCGTCGCACGGGCGATGCTCGGTCCGATCTCTGTGCGTGGGAGAAGATTCATGACACAAGATCGTTTCAACAAATTATACATGCATTCATTCCCTGGTAAGCAACGCATACATGACCGGAGATTCGGTCTGTCGCCACTCCTCCCACTGCTTGTGAGGCCAGTCAGGATCATCTTCGTTCATCGCGCTGACGATATTCATATGGTGATTCCTGTCCCGAGGCCCTTCATTTTCAGTGATCCAATATGCTTCTTGGATCCTTAGCAGCTGCTTGTACGGTGTGGGCGCGTCTGGGTAATCTAGCCACATAAAAAACACATAAAAAACACACGCAAACAAATCGAAAAAGAGCTGCTCACTTGCCTTGTGGGGATTCACGGCAATATCTCCACTCGGGGTGCATCAAGACGAAATACCGTGCAGCAATTTCACTCTGTCGCATAGTATACTCCACAGCCGACGGCGGGGGTGGCGGACTTGTATCCAGCCTTCGACACACCTCCTCCTTTAGAGGCCTCTCATAGATCTCGCCTGTTGTGGTGCCCTTGCAGCAACTGAAGCTGCAATCAACGCCATCTCGCAAATCCGCATCTGTTGAGATTCTGGTCAGTTAGCAGCAAAAGATTGGATAGGAAAGATTACTCACAGGTAACATGCGATGCAAAGCATACTTCAATTGGAGAGCGCAGCAGCCACAGCCTAGCATGCTGCACTAGGAGTCTCACGTTCTCCTGGTGACTAAGGAACGGGTGCGGTCGACATAACTTGCAAAGGAGAGTTTCCCTCTTGGTATCTCTATCAACTCCATGAAGACAATGGAGGAGATCTATCATTTCCTGGCGTGTCGACACAAAATCCACGAATTCAGAATGATCTGTAGGCGAAACCTGGTCTTACCTGGGAAGTCAAAGGAGGGAACACAAAATCCGCGAATTGAGAATTATCAGCAAGTTGTTGGTAAAATCCTGGTCTCTTAAGGAATTTGAGGTTGTCGGGAACATTTCCGAACTCGGGTGGGACATAAAATGCTTCCGAGTTTGCCAATGCCTGGATGCGATTTTGACCTGGAAGAAGAAAAGAGTTACGTGAGATGAATTTATGTAATGTATCTACCTGTTTGGAGCCAATGTTGAGCTGCATCTAGGGAACCTTTATAAAGTAAATCCACAACTTTGGTGACTTGTTCTGCTTCATCATTATCCAAGCCAAGGTTGAGTTGCACATCGCGTTGCTAGGGAATAATGATTTAATAAACAGGGTAAGAATAAATAAAACTCTTACCAATTTTCCAATGTAGAG